TTGGTATCCTGATTTTATCTTTCCTGCTGAGCATTACTCCAAAGACATCCGAGGTGGGGGTTATACCACTCACGCTTAAGTCATTGAGCAGTCCGCCTGCTCAATTCTATGTGAGTACACATTTTATAATTTATACTACTTATATAAGATTTTATATCAGTTGTCTCTCTTCTCCCTTATGATCTACATATCGGCAAAAGACTTAACCCTCTACACGTATCTTACAAGCAGGGATTATACCGTTGTACGTTATTCACACTAGAGCTGGCTTAAGCTCTACTAAACGTGCGTAGGACTGTAGTAGACTATGTTGTTATATACACCATCTTTACCAGACGTACTGCCCTATCATCTGTCTTTCTCTTCCACATACGGAGTAAAAGACCAATACTTCCCTACGTATCCTATAAGCGGGGATTGTACCGCTGTATGCCATCCACACTAGAGCTAGTTCAGCTCTAGTACACGTGAGTAGGATTACCATAGATCTCTTCTTCCTGCATATCAACCCTCTTATCAGATGTATTTGCACTATTATTTCTTTCTTTACATACGGATCCTGGAAATCCATCTTCACGTGACCCTTAGAGAGAATACTCCTCCACATAGGCCGTCGGTGCCCCTTCAGGCCCAACTAAAGACTTTGTTTTGGCACCACTTACACTTTGGACTTTGTTCATTTTAGCTGCACTTTAGTCCGCTTTGGCACATCCTTCTTCTGTTTTGTCTTGTATATGACAAGAAGATGAGCCTCGTCACCGCATTCATTATAGACTGCAATGGGGCAAGTTGGGAGCACATAAGTCCACTGAGAAGGGGATTGTAGTAGTCAAGGTGAGAGAGGACAGTAGCATTGGACCAGCACCTTCGCCGTATCTGGCGTTAAGTAGGGGCGGATGCCCACAATATTTTTAAGATGGAAGTGGCAGGATTTGGCGATCCACTGGACATGAGGGGTGAAGGAAAGGTCGGAGTCAAAGAGAACACCTATGCAGCAAGCCTGCGTGGTGGAGCTGATGGTAGCACCATTAACACGGAGGAAGACAGAAGCAGGAGAAGCAACACTTGAGGAAGAAAAGACCAGAAGTTCTGTTTTGGACAAGTTGAGCTTAAGGAGGTGGGCAGCCATCCAGTTAGAAATAGCAGAGAGGAGTCAGAGACAGGGAGGAGAATTTGCCTAAAAAAAAAATCAAATTGTGTTTCTGTGTGTCAGTGAGTGTGTGTGTGTCAGTGAGTGTTTGTGTCTTTCAGTGTGTGTGCTCGTCTGTGCTAGTCTTATTAATTAAATTCACCAAATGCATTGAATACATCATTTATTACAGCGATAAATTATGTATTCAATGTAAATATCAGGCAGTATGTGTGTATGGATACATGTCTTAGGCAGTTTTTGTGTATGGATGTATGTATTAGGCAGTGTGTGTGTACGGATGTATGTATTAGGCAGTATGTGTGTATGGATGTAGGTATTAGGCAGTATGTGTGTAAGGATGTAGGTATTAAGCAGTATATGTATATGGATGCATGTATTAGGCAGTATGTGTGTGTGACGGACCGCCTGGCACCCGACCAGGTAAGTCTGTCAATCGCTGTTTCCTAGTACTTATAAGCACTGTACTGGAACACCATAAACAACGTAAACCCCACAAACTGCCACAGCTTGGTTGGGGTCTCGCCATCATACACCCATCCTGGACCCAAGATCAGGATCCAGCTTCTAGTAGGTAGACCTCTTCTAGTCCAGACAGCGTAGCAGGAACAGCTTTTATAAGAGCTAGTGATTATATTCAGGGGAGTATTGTGATTTAGCAATCCCCAGAGTATATGTTGTTCTCCAATCCCCCAAACATGAGCCAAGACGTCATGAAGGAGTAAACGAATCTCTCTTTAATGGGACTCACACTGGCCTTTTATGCAAGTCCCCAAGCAAGGTGTACGCCCACATGGACCTTGTTGGTGACAGGGACACAAACTTACAAACCAATAATAACACAATTACAATTTAAGGCACTCCCACACATAGCATAACATCCCTCCCCTCTACCTGGGAGATAATGGAGTCAGATAATGTATTAGCCCAATTATCTCCAGGCAGAAAAAACACATATTTTACAAAACACATGATATCCCCACAAATGTCACATCCCCTGACAGCCCTGATCTGGGTGACCAACATATCCAAAAATCACCCAGATCAGTTCAGAGGTTCAGAAATTTTATGTAAGTCATGTATCTGACCGACCGCAGACATGGTCCTATGCCCAAAACAGTTCCAGAGACTCAGGGCTTGCGGTCGGTCTAGTTCGGTAGTTTGAAAATGAACAAACTACCAACAGAGTCAATAATCTTACCCTGGAGCTTGTTCCCTTCATCCAGACAAATGATCCTTCTACCCAGGACTCTGCTTTCCATATACAACTGAAAGCTCTACACACAGGACTTACCAAACACCGTAAGAATGCTTGGCAGACGGCTCCAGGACTGGTATACTACATTTATCACCTTTTACACTAATAGTCTGGGACAGGCATACCACATCTCTTAATTTTGCGCACAACACCCTCCTATGTCCTGCAGATTCCTTCAAAAAAATAATTTTCGCAGGTCTTGGATCTAGGTGGATGATACTGGTCGAGAGGGCGACCTAAAAATGCATTGTATGATCTGAGAGTCCAATGATAGAAACATGACCAGTTCGTACCTGTCATAGTATGTGCGTAGCTGAGGCCCACATTGTATGCTTTTGTGTAACTTTCTTTTAAGCGGCATCTAAAGTTCCAGTTATGTAAAAAAAAAAGTTTTTTTTACTGCTCACCATGCAAATGTTCGGTATGCTCGGGACAATGTTAGTCATATAATTGCATGTAGTACCCTAGACAGCCCACTACGAATACCAAAGGTCTTAACTAGAGTCATACGTTAGATGGACTAGGTACGGCATGAATTCTGATACGTGGCATAGCTTATTTTCATCTGAAAAGGATGACACGTTATTCTCCCCTGTACATCTAACCTACTCGCACATAGATATGTGCATAGTTGTCAAATGTTTCTGATGTGTCTATTGGTAAAAGGACATGGTCTGATCACGTGCCGGTCATCACTACAGTCAGAACCCTATATCCTGCACGGGGAAGGAGTACGTGGCGACTTAACAAATCTCTATTAGACAAGGCCGTTCAAGTATCCACATTACGTAAAGTGATACAGTCGTTCTACGATGACCATTCAAAGGACACCTCTCACATAGACACACAATGGTTGGCCCTTAAGGCAGTGATGAGAGGATTTATCATACAAGTAGGATCTGTCCGCAAAAAAAAGATGAATGAGGACAGGAAGCGACTCTTAAACGACCTTGACAAAATAGAACCTAAAAACAAATTAAACCCATTGAAAAAGCTGACAAAACAAATCAATATGATCAAAAATGAACTACAGGTGTTGTCCCTAACTCTTATGGAGAGACAGTTAAGAAAACTTAAACTATCTCACTATGTGAAGGGTAATAAAGCAGGCAGGATGCTCATGAGGAAATTGAGGTCCCAATACCTACAGTCCAAATTACCTTACATGACATCAGCTAACAACACCAAACTGTACAACCCTCATGACATAGTTGAAGAGCTTGCCTCTTTTACACTTTATAATACACAATACACTTTATAACCTACGGCTTGTCCCAGGTACACATCAACCTATCCATGACTAAATCAATAATTTCCTGAGGGAAATAGACCTACCACAACTGACTTGTCAACAATGCCAATCCTTACTCACACCGTTCACAGAAGAAGAGGTACGAAATGCGATCTGTAAACTCCCTAATCACAAGACCCCTGGCCCGGATGGATTCCCCAATTACTTTTACAAAAAATTTTAAATCCAACTCACACCGCACCTCACCAAGCTTTTTAATCATTTTAAGAACTCAGGGTCCATACCACATGAGATGCTATTGGCCCACATAATCACTCTGCCTAAGCCTGGCAAAGCACCCACAAAATGTGCCAATCTAAGGCCTATCTCACTATTAAATGTGGACACAAAACTCTAAGCAAAATTATTAGCTACACGCCTAAAACCTATGTTGCTGGATATGGTCTCTCCAGAGCAAGCGGGATTTGTTCCTTCTAGACAACCTGGGGACAATATCCGTCATTTCCTAAATATAATTAACTCGGCTCAAACTAGCAAAGAGCAGGGCTTATTACTAGCCCTGGATGCTGAGAAAGCGTTTGATCGCTTGAACTTTACATATATGTATGAGGTGCTGTCAAAGATGAGTTTCCCTCCCTCCTTTTTAAATAGCATTCTAGCCTTGTACTCCCACCCCTCAGCAAAGGTGTATAACTCTGGTTTTCTGTCCCATCCTTTCCATATTACAAATGGAATCAGACAGGGCTGCCCTCTCTCCCCGTTGATTTTTATCTTATGCTTGGAACCCCTTGAAAGACATATCAAAATCCATGATAAGATACAAGGCCTTTGCACCCCGCCCGGTGAAATGAAAAAAGCTCTCTTTGCGGATGATGTACTGCTGTTCTTGACAAACCCAGTTTAATCACTCCCACACCTATTAACCTTGTTAGACAGCTATGGACAGATATCCTACTATAAAAATAATTCTAAAAAATCCTAAGCATTGGCGCTACGCCTTCCCGCACATACCTTACAACTGCTACAATCTAACTACCCCTTCGACTGGCGCACAACGTTGATATCCTACCTCAGTATTAAACTCCCTTGAAAATCACTTGACACTAATACATAAGTTGGATTTGCAGCTAAAAGCACGGGAAGATAAGGGAACATCGTGGTTGGGACGTATATACACTGTAAAAATTATGATCTTACCACATATTTTGTACCGTTTCCGAACATTGCCAATTGCCCTGCCAAACTCTATATTGAAGAAGTTCCAATCACGTATCAATGCACACATTTGGAAAAGAAAACCCCCATGAATAGCACAAAACTTACTATGGCTCCCATTTACGATGGGCGGTCTGGGCATCCCTAATGCAAAATTATACTACAGAGCCTCGTTACTCGCACAGGGCATATCAAGCCTTGAGAGGACTTCTCCCCCATTAGAAAATGCCTGTGTAACCCGAGGAACGGTGGAACATGCCCTTTGGGCTGGCTCCATAAAGACCGATAGGAATAACAATATGCTGCCCTCCACTAAAACCTTACTCCGCATATGGAGACAGGTCACCCCTAAACTTATGGATGATAATGACTTACTGTACGCAGATCCCTTACAGGCCATTGCCTCACGCATGACAGACCTGAACTTAGATCCATGGATAAAACAGGGTGCCCTTTATGTACGTTCTCTATACAACAATACAGGCATTAAGCCATTTCCCGAGCTACACATGGCTCATTCCTTACCACCTAGGAAAAATATTCACTTATCTACGCATCAGAAATATTCTGCATGAAACCAAAATTAAAACTAAAGATACCCAACTACTACCACCCTTTCTCCAAAATTGCATGGGGAAACTACCGAACACCAAAGCTCTGTCCTTCTGTTATAACACTCTCATGGTCCAAAAAGACAACGAGAAACTCTCGTACATGCTGCACTGGGAGAAAGATAAGGTAAACAAATCCCACTGTCAGTTTGGAACCAAGCACAGAGGAAAACTAACCTCAGGCCAATATGAACAAATGGCGTGCCGCCTCCAAGGCAACAAGGGTAAATATACAAAGTGGTGACAGAGATGGCTGTCAATCAGAGACTTATATGTGTAAGACTCAGAGACAAAACTAGATAAAACAATGACTGTATCAATGCTATCAATATACACAATGGATAAAACTGCACATACGACCACATAATGTCATACATCCCTCACAAGAATAAGCCACAGGATACTACCGCCCGAAGGAAACATGGTAACCCTCTCCCAGCCTAGAACTTAGCCAGTTAATAACCTACGATACTATAAAACCAGGACCGACCAAGAACAGGCTCCCTAGCAGACACCAGAGTGCACCCAATGTGTTTTTCACAGCATGCTATTCCCTTGCTCCTACCCCCCCGTCATGGTTGAATATATTTATTACCTGTTATGCATTACATTTATATATGTATTGTTTGTATATTGTATGTTTTAAAAAATATTGTATCCTATTGTAACAATGCAATGTTTTGTGGATCCAGGACATACTTGGAAATGAGAGAAATTTAAATGTATCCATCCTGGCAAAATAGTTTATACATAAATAAATAAATACATACAACCCCTAAACCATGAATACATGCACTACAGCAAACTGCACACTACAGCTCCAATTTAACACATACTACATCACCAATTTACCTCCCAGAAACACTACAGCTCATATCCCCATACACACATAATAAAGCCCTTATCCTCTTAAACACACACACACACACACGAGCCCCTACCCACATTCAGTTCCTGTCCCTGCCCATGCACACAGATATAGTATATTTCAATTAGCCCTATTCACACTCACATCCCCACAATGCAAGCAGCCTTCCCCTCTCATACACAACCACGCAAGCAGAATCCCCCATACACACAACCCTGCATGCAACATTCCCAGAAACAAGAAACACCGCATGTAGCTTACCCTCCCAAATGCAACACAGCAATCAACAGACTGCACATGTGCATTCCCACTAACATACAAAAACACAAACATCCTCCCCAAACATATGTCCAATCACATACACCCACCACATTTCTGCATCCATCTATCTATCTATCTATCTATCTATCTATCGGGATGGGGAGGTTGATTTGAAGAAACTGGCCTTGGGGCAGCAAAAAGGGTAAATCTGGCCCTGTCAGCAGATAAGAAAAAACACATCATGCTGAGCAGGCCTCAGGAACTTTAAATTGGCTATTATGCTGGCTGTGCCCTCTCTGACAATGCTAAGTCTTGTGAAAGAGTTTTACAGAAGTAATCATGTTAGCGGTTACATAAATTATATGTCACTGAGGTAGTTTTAAAATTAAAGAGTGGGTAGCCATGTCAATACCATGTTTGTTATTTAGGTCCAAGCCAGAAAAGGTTAAAGTTGCAATCTAGGCACCATAACCAAAAGTTGAAGGAGCAATGTATCATCATAACCACTAGAGCAGATATGGTACCAGACATGCCCTGGGGCCATATCATGATAAGTAGTCGGACCATAGTTATCCGGGTCCCCATGGTCCTTCCTGTTAAGCCTCCTCATCTCAGGTCACTTATGCTGAAGTTCCTACTTCCACATTAATGATGTCAGTTTAACCCATTGGCTAAGGGTATTAGCTGATGCTCTCAACTAATACATTTCATCAAACGAGAGGCAAAAACTATACATCTATTACAACAAACTAATGGTTATTGTGCTTTGACTGGCCTTTTAAAAACAACTACATTTAAGTGGATGTATAAACATACTGTTGCAATGCACGCTAGCTTTATATAGGTAAGAGTCCATCACCTTACTTTAGCCTCCTAGATAAAATGTCCTTATCTCCCTTCTCTGTGGTAAGCAATATAATGCCCCAGTGACATTCTCTGGATCTGCAGAAAAAGTAGTTAAACGTTTACAAAGTGCCTTCATAAAGCAATTAGCACAAAGAGGTATGAAAATAAAGGGAGTGACCACATGGTAACTTAAAATGGTGAGTTACAGGTCAGAAGAAACGGGAGATTTAATTTAATGAGAAAATAAACAAACGTGTATTTTTGCTATTCTGGGCTATACTATGTTGTAATTCAAGTAGATCTGTCACAAAAATGCATCTTACTTTATAGTATAATGACTCAATCGTACATAAACAACAGTAGTTTGGAAACACTAAGTTTCTTTTTCTGGAGGGGAAAGTGATTAGCCAAAAAAAAAAAAAGGGGGAAAATGAGTGTCTCTTTTATTCTGTAATAGGCCCTACCCTCTCATTGATAGTTGATTGCAGAAGCTTACTTGAGAGCATGTAGGCATGTCAAAAATGGGTCTGGTTTGAAAGCTACCCTGTTTCAGCAGGTTTTTGCACATGCCTAGTGTAATTTAAGAAGGAATTTCAGGAATTTCCATGGTGTTCATGTTCTGGCAGCAGAGATGGCTACTTATGAGTCAAGGCATTCTATTGGCCTGTCTATTCAGGGGCTATAATTTGCTCATAGCACCAGTGGGTGAGGTTACAGTGCCCAGGGCCAGATTAAGAGCCCAGTGGGCCTCGTGCTGACAATTATGATGGGGCTTAATTACAGAATTGTCACAGCCCCTGGCTCGCTGGCGAGGTGCGGTCACACCGGACCGGTGCAACCGCGCCAATGAGCTGAACTTACCTGCTCAGCGGCGAGTCGGGAGCGGCTCTACCGGGTTCTTCTGGCTGCCCCCCAGGGTCACACATACACGCACGTTCTGCAGTCAGAGGCCATATTTAACCTAGGTTATTGCCCTGTAGGGGTTTTCGTTCCTGGTTCCTGAGAGTGCGTTTTCTTGTCCTGTTTTTGATATTCCCAGTATTTTGACCCTGGCTATTCCTGACTATTCTGATTTCTGGCTTCCCTGACTTGGCTTGTTAAATGGTATTGTATATTTCTGGCTCCCTTGATCATTCTCTGTTTTTAACGTATTAGTCCGGCCATTCTAAGGACCGGTTTATGTTTTATCATTTTCTGTTCTGTCTATGTAGATGTTACATAGTTCTGCTTGCTGCACCACACTAGCAGTCATGACAAGAATCTTATCGACCATAAACACTAAAACAGTCATACCTCTCAAGCGTCATGTATCTAATGGAGATGGTGTTGGCGGGAAACTCAAAGGATGCAGCTTTAAGAAAACACATACTCTATGCTAATCTCTCTCTAATTTATGCTTCATCTTTCAAGTAAATCCATACCCCCTAACAGCAGTGTCCAGTGAAGCAGGAAATCAATGGGGACACTGGGAGAAATGGGGACACAGAGACATGGAGACACAGACACTGGGAGACATGGGGACACTGACTGGGAGGCATGGAGACACAGGCCTGGAGACACTTGGGGACACTGGGAGACATGGGGACCCAGACATTTGGGGACATGGGGACACTGAGACACCAGGGACACAGAGACATGGGGACACAGACACTGGGAGACTAGGGGACACTGGGAAACTAGAGGACACTGAGACAATAGGGACACTGGCTGGGAGGCATGGGGACACTGTGTCCCATGTGTCTCCGTGTCCCAGTGTGTCTCCCAATGTCCCCATGTCTCACAGCATCCCCATGTGTCTCAGCACCCCCATGTGTCCCAGCGTCCCCATGTCTCACAGTGTCCCCTAGTGTTTCAGTGTCCCAGTGTCTCCAGGTCTCCCTGTTTCCTCTAGTGTCTCAGTGTCCCCATGTCTCCCTGCTGCCTTTCCCCCCATCCTTCACTTACCTGAGCTGTAGGCTGTCTCTGCAGGCTGGGAGCTGCTGTCTAGCTGTGTAGCTGTGTGGCTGTTCCCCCGCGGATCAGTGAGTAGAGAGAGGCAGGGAGGGATATGCTGTAACTTCCTATCCCTGCCTCTCTCCACACACAATGACACCTACTGGCTGGTGCTGGTATTGCAGAGTAATCTCCGTTTATACTGAGAAAAATAAAGTATTTCCAGCTGCAAAAGTAATATGCAGTCTATCAGTATCCTGCTGCTTTAATCCTGTGCACACTGTGTGCTGAGAGCTAATAGTAAGTCAGAAGTAGCTGAAATCGTTGGAGTCTATCAGTATATTGATGCTTTAATTATGTGCAAACTATTTGCTGAGACCTAATGGAATAGCTGACATGTTTCATAACAGCAGCAATATTTAACCCCTTAACGACCGCAGACGTACTAGGTACGTCTGAAAAAAAACAGTTGTTAAGGGTCGCGGATGTACCAAGGATGTACATGGGGGATACTGTTTTACTCGGGAGACTTCGCTGAACACAAATATTAATGTTTCAAAACAGTGAAACGCATCACAAGCATGATGTCGTCAGTGAAAGTGCAATTTTGCATTTTTCACACACAAAAGACACTTTTACTGATAATATAATTGTTGTGATACGTTTTACTGTTCTGAAACACTAATATTTGTGTTCCTCGAAGTCTCCCGAGTATAACAGAACCCCCCATGTACAGGTTTATGGAGTTTTCAAGAGTTACAGAGTCAAATATGAGGCTTGCATTTCAGTTTTTTCACATTGAAATTTGCCAGATTGGTTTTGTTGCCTCTGAGACCGTATGGTAGCCCAGGAATAAGAATTACCCCCATGATGGCATACCATTTACAAAAGTAGGCAACCCAGGGTATTGCAAATGGGGTATGTCCAGTCTTTTTTAGTAGCCACTTTAAAATGATTTTTTTTGCATTTTTCACACACAAACAAATATGAAGGTTAACTTTGGCCAGTGTTTGTGACTAAGTGAATACTAAAAAGACTGGACATACCCCATTTGTAATACCTTGGGTTGTCTACTTTTCCAAATGGTATGCCATCATGATGGTAATTCTCATTCCTGGGCTACCATTTGGTCACAAAGGCAACATAACCAGTCTGGCAAATTTCAATGTGAAAAAAACTGAAAAATGTAATGTGCTATATTTGACCCTGTAACTTTGCAAATCACCATAAAACCTATACACGAAAGGGGAGGTACTGTTTTACTTGTGAGACAATGCTGAATACAAATATGTGTACTTTACTGCAGTAACAGCTAACAGTATTATGAGATTCACAGTTAAAGTGTCACACAGTTAAAACAACATTTCTTAATTTCTCAATTTTGTTTAAAAAATTTTTTCATAATAAATTATGTTTCATATATAACTATTTGATATGAAATGAAAGCTCTGTTTCTCCTGAACAAAACGATCATATTAAATGCACGCATTTAATATGAAAGAGGTGAATTACAGCTAAACACAAACCCTGCATAAATGTAAAAACAGACTTGATCCTTAACTGTAAGAAAGCTGAAAAACTGTCTGGTCACTAAGGGGTTAATAGAATATTAAGAGCTAAGTGAGACTAGATAGATATAAGATAGAGAAAGAACTAAAGCATTTTACAGAGACGTGCGTGCTGTGTGTGTATTGCAGCTCTGTGTACTTCATCACAGTGATCCTGGCTGTGTGGGACAGTTATAAGTATCTCCTTATTGTGCCCAGCTCTGTGTGTTATTTATCTATATTTTATTCTGCTCTGCCTGTTGTATGGGTATCTCTGTAGTCTACCCAGCTCTGTGTATTATATAGGTGGTATCTTTGTATTGTACCCAGCTCTGTGTATTATATTACTATTTTTTCAGCTCTGTGGTATGGTTATCTCTATATTATGCTCAGGTTTATAGATATCTTTATAGTGTGCTTTTTTTTTATTGTATGAGCATCTCTGTATTATGCTCAACCCTCTGTAATTGTATGATAATCTCTGTACTGTATAGCGAGGAGTAAAATCCCCTGTTAGGAGTCTGGCACCCCACCATCTTAACATTTCACCAGCCGCAACTGGGCAAAAGTGTCAACTGTTGTATTTATAGAGACACTACAAGAACCACCATGTCCTGTGCATAGTGAAAGGAAATCATAGCCATTGGAAACATGGACATGACATTTATAAAACACATAATAAATTCTGCCTTTAGTTTTAGTGTGCATTTACAACTTTCTGATACATCATCATCATCATCATCATCATCGGATTGTTGTGAGCAACCATTTTCCATCTACCCATAGCTTTGCGAGACTGCGTTCTAATAGTCAGAGTTAGAAATAAGCCAAGGATTATCTTTTGAGATAAAGCAGCTTGCACAATATCGTATAACAAGTGATTAAAGTAGACTACAACACAACTTTCAAGTATATACCGTATATACTCGAGTATAAGACAAGTTTTTCGGCACATTTTTTGTGCTACAAAAACCCCACTCGTCTTATACTCGAGTCACTGTCTGTATTATGGCAACTTACATTGCCATAATACAGACCAGGACCGCAGGCAGGAAGCGTTAATTACCTTTCCTGCAGCTCCTGTCAGCTCCCTTCACCTCCGTGCCGGTCAGCTCCCTTCTCCTCCACTGTAAGTCTCGCGAGAGCCGCGTGGTAAGAGCGTTGCCACGGGTTACTGTGGCAACACTCCATGCGGCACTCAGACCGCGAGATTTACAGTGGAGGAGAAGGGATCTGACCGGCACGGAGGTGAAGGGAGCTGATATGAGCTGCAGGCAAGGTAACAGCTCTCTGCCAGCCCCCCTCCTACACAGCCCATGCCACAGGACCACCAGGGAATGAGAGCCCCCCCTCCCTGGCCATGTATCAAGCAGGGAGGGGGGACAAAAAAATATAAATACAAATTTAAATAATAATATAATAAAAAAAATTATATTAAAATAAAAATAATAATATTAAAAAAACACACAAAATTTAATATTAAAATAATAATAATTAAAAAAAATAATAAAAAATGCCCCCCCCCCCTCACCAAGGTTACACACTCTGCATCACACACACTGCATTCACACACACACACTGCAGTCATACACACACACTGCATTCATACACACACACACTGCACTCATACATACACACACTGCATTCATACACACTACACACACTGCATTCATGCACACACACACACTGCATTACATACACACACACACACACACACACACACACTGCATTCATTATATACACAAAATAAATATTCAATTAATGTAATTTTTTTGGGATCTAATTTTATTTAGAAGTTTACCACTAGCTGCTGCATTTCCCACCCTAGTCTTATACTCGAGTCAATAAGTTTTCCCAATTTTGTGGGGTAAAATTAGGGGTCTCGACTTATATTCGGGTCGACTTATACTCGAATTTATAAGTAGATCAGTTTACAAGCAGTTTAACAAAAGTAACAACCTCTTAAACTGGATGGTAGCTTAATGGTAGCTCCCTAATTATTTTAGTAATTAGCAATCAAATTGAATAATTAAAGAAGGGGGGCATATAAATTATTATATAGGTTAAAAATTAACACAGTACATTTACTAGAAAACAGCTTGAAAGAAATCAATAGGGCATTCACAATAAAGTTAATAACATTTTGTTGACACCTGTTAAATCATTTTTTTTCTTTAGCACAAAACATAATCTGTTGCATTAACCTCATATATATATATATAACTGTTACAGCAAACACCATTTGTATCCTTAGACTGGAAATACACTGTCCCAATATTGTTCTGTATCTCCCATTAGATAATCAAAACAGAATTTCTTGATTTTTTTTCCCCCCAGAATATTATTTTCATGCTCTGGGCATGTATAGGATATTACACAGATTCATTGCTCATCCTGGCTACCTTTAGGAATGTACAGGTAACATGTTAATGCCTTTCTGATGTCTTTGCATGTTCAGGCATGTATATGCACCCAGTCCTACTAAGTGAAAATGTGGCTACAAGGATTGTGGAACTTCCCAAGGAATAATTGTTCAGTCTTAAAGTTTTGTTGTGATTTAATGGGAAATGACAAGCATTAAAGTCACAATTAGAACATTATAAGACAACATTATATTTATTTTCTTTTTTAAAAGAACATTATAGTGTAACTCTGCCTATGTGCCCCCAGCCCACGTGGCAATCAAAAGGTTAAATAACCCTTTTTTCATTAACTTAATTCCAGTGCCAAGGTACCTCGGTGCTGGCTCCATCTCTGCCTCCTCTGTCGTCACAGCGAGGGAAGCCTAATGCTCATGCGTGAAACAGCTCGTAGACAGTCGCTAGATGCAGTCTTAAACCTGCAATGGAAACAGGGTGATGTGGGCGTCGGAGTGCTAGAAACAAGACTGGATGTGTTGGATTATGAAGGGAGGAAGTTTTGTTTCCTAGATTCGTTTTCCTTGAGACAGGCCACTGGGCATAAGTTAACATTCTGAGGAAAAGCTGGGTAGAAGACAGAGGTGATTGGCGTTTTGGTACAACTTGAGATATCGAACGAAACACCCTCGGGAGTAAACGAACGTGCAGAAAGGTCCAGTGCACGGACATCTGATACACGTTTACAGGAGATCAGGCAAAGCAGCATCACCAGCTTTGCCGTGAGTTGTTTGAGTGAAAGGACTTCATTCCTTGGCCAGTTTGCGAAGAGTTTACATCCCATAACGAAGAGTATTTAGGTTGAGGTGGGTGTGCAAATCTGATGCCATCCAATGTCTGTCTGTCATAAAAAACTATTTGGTTGGGTAGGCACATTTGAACAGGGTATTGTACGAAATCTATGGAATAACCCATAACAGTTTGTAGGACCCACGAGTCCAAAGTTAACATGCGCCAGGCATTTACAAAATAGTATAATCTGCCCCCAACAATTGTTAGTGAAGAAAGATGTGATGGGAGCAAACTTACCATAAGGGCCATAGGAAGAACCTCTTATTCCACGAGATTGCCAGGGCCTGCCACGAACTGGGAAAAATGGTGAGGTGGTTTTAGGCTCAGGAACTTGGAATCGAGAGTGCATGGAGCCTCAGGAACCCTGGTACGAGCCTCGGGAGTAGCGGCCTGGCAGACTGCCCCGATATCTGCCGCCCCGTCAAAAACTCTTTGGGAGAATACTTTTTTCTTATTGGCTTGCGCCTTATCGAGTGCGGTAAAAGTCCCCACATACATGCCCAGTTCCTTCACAAAATTGTCCCCAAAATGGAGGCGTTTTGCCTGTGGCCCATGCTCCAATATAGCCAAATTCACAAATTTTTCAATCTCAATAAAGATTGCCTCAATAAGGATTGCCCAATAGTGGCCAAAGCCGTATTGACATTGACAATCAAACAGATGGATCGCTGGATCCAACCCCTGATAGCCAGCAAATTTGCAGGAGTATCACCTGCCAGGGCCGTTTCGACTGTGTCGAATATTTTAGCACTGGGTCCAAGGACATCCAGTAGTTTGTCTTGTCAATTGCGTAAAGAAAAATGTAGGCCTTTCTTGGCCTTCCACCCAGTTTCTGGTATGACGCATGCAAAATTAGGAATTAGGAAAAGACGCGGGCATTCAGCCCGAAGTTTATTCCTTGTCACTTTATCAAGTGGCTTCCTGATACGTGTGATGAAATACTTTGCCACATGATCCAAAGGGTACCACTCTGAAGATCTCGGATGTTGCAGTGCATCCGGATCAAAAAGTGGTTCACCCTGAGGGTCGAGGAGGGTGGAATCCTCCCTACCGACTTTAAGGTCAGTCCCAGACACGGATAAAGAACCGTAATCAGGATAAAATGTTCCTGAATTGTACGAGTCTTTGTCATCGGACTTGCTCAGTGCCTCCTCCTGTTCCGATTCAGAATTGGATGATTCGATTGGGGCTTTTGCCCTTTCCCAACTCCTCACCTATTTTGCCCGGTGGGTGACTCTTTGTTGTGGTGCAACCACATCGTCTGCGACAGGACGTTCCCGGTCCGATTGTACTGTTTTGGAGGCCTCCGCGTCTAGGTGATGGGATTTTTTGCCGGCTCTGCACCCAGCAGTAGTAACTGGTTTATTCTCCGGGGAGGGGGGGGGTTTAGGAAAAATGTGGGTAGATGTCTGCTGGGTGGACATAAGGGCATAGGTAATAGAGTGGGACAATGTGTCTGACATGGCCCCCATAGTGGAGTAAATGGCCTGAGTCACTGACTTAGTGTCCAGGAGGGAATGAAGCTCTTCTGAGTTCATTTGCTCCTGTGAGGCTTGCCTACAGTAGTCAGACTAGGGGTTTTTGATACCACCTGGGGCGTAAGGTGCTTAGTGGCATTAAAGGAAGAACCATTAGTGGCAGTGTCCAAGTCTTCCTGTGATTGCATTTTAAAGTGCAAAGTACAGAACACACAAAAGGGGGGTAACAATGGCAGGACAAAACACAAAGAGGGGCAAGGTAAGACTCCTAGAGATCCTAGAACAGTGCAAATTCAGTAGCACAAGCAAGGCAGGGGATACCCACACTGACCACCAATATAAACACAGATGACAATCTGAAAAAGGCAAGCTAACTGAGTGTTCCCTTAGGAATGGCCCCTGGGGAGCACCAGTGAGCTGCCAGGTTACTGTGCCGGGGAATCAGCACGCACCCGCCCCCAAACTTGTGCAAAATGCCCGGGAAACAAAAACGCTGCAAAATAGCTAACCCCAATATGGCAGCCAAAATGCGCACTCGCGTCATGCAAATGTGTGGGTGGCGCCAGCCGCACCTGGATCCGCAGACCAGCGGGACCGATAGCGAATCTTGGAGTAGGGTTGTGAGACACCAGGACGGAGAGAGCCTCAGGTAGTGAGGCTGCAAACCGCCCCAGAACGTCGGGTTATAAACAACCCAATCAATGAGCACAGAGAGGAAGGGGAGGGAGGGGAAGAATGAGGGAGAAACGGGGCGTGGCTTGGAAGCCGAGAATGATGGCGGCGTAATCCCGGAGCTCCCCAGCAGGCCAAGCACAAACCCTCCTCGAAGCACCTATACCCCGGGCAAACATGGGTAAAACTCACCGGGCACCGACTACCACCAAGCCGACGGACACGCCGAAGGGCACAGCTGCCGCCTCCCTCCGGCAATTCCTAGTGACTCCCACAGAGGCGGCCGCACGGGCCTGCACAGCCTCTGAAACTGCCGACGTTTCCCGCCCAGCGTCGCCACGAGACAGCCGCCAGATGCAACAGGCCCAGACCCCTCCGGACCCTCAACCGGACTGGGTTCAATTAATCCGAGCCCTGCCTACAAAACAAGACCTGAAGGAGGCTAACTCAGAGCTGAGAGCCTCCATCACTGCAGAACTGCACTCACTCCGGGAGGACATCCAGGGCCTCCACACAAAAGTGTCCCAACTCGAGGCGGACACTGATCATCTGTCCTCCGCTCAGTCTGCAAACACAGACGCGATACAACATCATACAGCGCAAATGAGACAAATGGCCCTGCATATGGAGGATCTGGATAACCGTGGCAGGCGCCAAAACATACGGGTGCGCGGCATCCCAGAAGACCTAGACCAAACAACGCCAATAGCAGACACCCTTAAAGAACTATTTAACAAGCTTCTGGGCCGCCCAACTACCACCGCAATTGAGTTTATTAGAGCCCACCGCGCACTAAGACCGAGGGGCCCCCCGGGGGCTCCCCCAAGAGACACAGTTTGTTGCCTGGCCTGCTTCCGCCTAAAAGAGGACATCCTCCAGAAGGCACGAAACACAGAAAAGGTGCTGCTGAATGGCGCGGAACTCCAGCTATACCCAGACCTTTCCCCGGCTACCCTGGCTTACCGACGGGCGATGAAGCCCCTTACGAGAATCCTCCAAAGCAACAGGATCAGATATCGGTGGACCTTCCCGACCGGGCTGCAGGCTCTCACCTCGAAGGGGCCCTTTGCTGTCCGACACCCGGAGGACCTGAGTGATCTCGCCGCAGAGCTACAGCTCCCACCCATCACCATGACATGGCCGGATCCCCTCGCTTTCTACACGACACCACCGCTGAACCAGCGGCCCCAGCCACAGCAACACAGAAGCAGAGGGACCCGACAACAGGCCACTCGGCCCTCGGGGACGGCGGCATGAGGGTCAACCGCTGGCAGCTGCAGCATGTAACCGCAAGTACCACCAACCGGGACTCACCCTTCAATAGGGGTACCAACCTCCTCATGGACACTAGGGGTAACGAGACTGCTCTCCTAAATCACTTCGAACTGTGAGTGGTGATCTGGGGGGACGGGCACACCAGGGGGGCACCTACCCTGCTCACGAACCCTGGGGGGGGGGAAGGCACTGGGGAAGCGTAAGGGGAGCACGTTACCGAAGGCAGTCAGAGGGGGCAGCCACCAGCCCAGCTAGACACTGCCATAGGGCAACACGCATAGGCCTAATAGAAGAGCCCCTACCCACAGGGGAAGCTACTCGCCCCCGAGCACGCAAACGAGTTAACACCCATGGTACAACAGACGGGCTACACATGGCTTGACCCCACCGGGGTTGCTGGGGGAGGGAGGGAGCCGGCTGGAGGGGGCCGCACCTAGGGACCGAAACCATCGTGTAGAGGCCGACCCCAGGGGGGCTGCGACCCCAGCCCAGGCGCATTCACCAAGGCTGACCCGAGGGGGGGGGGCCAGAGGGAATGGGGGGGGTAAATTCCGGAGCTCCTCTAGGACTGGGGCCCGCCGCTGGGGCCCCGACCGCCCTGCGATGACCCAACCGAGCAGGGGGCGGGCCCCACCGGGTGGTCCCACTCACACACGGACGAAGGGTGGGGGGGACACGCTGAAGAGGGGCCCGGGCACGGGTTAGGGAGAGAGGGGCACCTGAGAGGAGGGCCGGTGGGGGACGACCCGAACCATCCCTGGGGGGGCAGGGAGACCCGACACAGGCGCCAGAGAGGGGGAGGTACGGGAGCGAAGGTTAGGTACTCAGCTAGGTACGCAATCAGGTTATAACGCAGGCAGCTGCATGCCACAACCAAGTTCACAGTTTAAAGTTTACTCTTGAGAAAGGTTTATTGAGTTTCAATGCAAAATTGTTGTATCATCTAATTCTTATTTGCCTACGCACATGATAGGCGCCTGAGACGGCGGCTTGACCCATGACCCGGAGCCCAATACACAGGAACTATACCGAGGAGGACGTTCATAACGACCAGAACCTGACAGATAGAGCCGACAGGGGGACTACACGGACCAAACGGACCGAGAAACGCAACCCAGGTACACATCTACCACCGACATACGCACGGACGCAGGGAGGACTGGTTCCACCCGGAGTCCCTTAGCTTCCTTCTACTGCCCCAAAGGGCCCAGCGACACAGACAGGCGAGCGGCAGCCGCGGACCACAGGTGGCCGCTGGCTAAACCGCTCCCCGTCGCTGACACCTCACTGTCACCCTATAGTGACAAGGACACGCACACCCACATATCTCTCATCCCCCTTCCCCTCACCCCCCTCTTTTTTCTCCTCTTTCTTCTCTTCCTACAACCCCCACCCAACCTACGACACAGACACAGACAGGACACAGACCGCGGACAGATCCCCTGACTGGACTGAGACCCAAGGACGAAACGATGCGGCCACACTCACACACAGGCACGAAGGCACTGGTGCCGGACTGTCTCTCTGTCCTCTCCATAAACGCCAGAGGTCTCAATAAACCGGAGAAGCGCTCAGGAGCGCTGAGAGACTTCCACGCTCAACGAGCCTCGATAGTACTAATACAGGAGACACACTTCAAGGGCGGGTCCAGGCCCAAACTGACAAACCATCACTACCCCACGGGATATTACAGCGACTATCACGCAGGAAGGTCCAGAGGCACGGCCATTCTAGTTCACAAACATATACCTTTTGTAGAAACGGGCCAGCTGACGGACAGGGAAGGCAGAATCCTCTTCCTAAAGGGCACAATAGCAGGACAGGCCTATACATTCGCGAACGTCTACGCCCCGAACACCCGACAATACAGATTCCTGGCACACACACTTAGGAAACTAAGGCCCTTCACGGAGGGAATCCTCATAGTGGGGGGTGACCTAAACGTAGCGCTCAATCCGCGGTGGGACACCTCCGCCGGACGATCGTGGGTCCCGGCGCAAAACCTAAACTCAATCAAGACCCTTCTAACTCGCCACCAGCTGATAGACTGCTGGAGGGCCTATCACCCGGACGAGAGGGATTATACGTTTTTCTCCCACGTGCACAACACTTACACCAGGCTAGACTACCTTTTTACCACGCACTACCATTTACCAATAACTAACGCTGCAGAACATGGGGTGGCGACATGGTCAGACCACGCGCCGGTAACCCTAACACTCTCGTCCCCCCTGTACAGACCCCGGCACAACAAATGGAGGCTTAACGAATACCTCCTTACTAGGCCCGACTTCACGTCCGAGGTCAACGACACACTCAAAGAATACTTTGAGATGAACACAACTGAACACACCTCACCGACCATTAGATGGGAGGCACACAAGAGCGTGATACGAGGACACTTCATCCGTCAGGGGTCCACCCTTAAAAAGCAGACAGATAGTCGCCTGACGGAACTAGTGACCGAAATACACAGGGTGGAAACACTCAACAAAACCACCCAACAAACGGCACACCAGGCGACACTACTACGTCTCAGACGGGACCTGACGAGCCTCTTACAAAGGAAACACCACAGAGACATAACCAGACATAAGGCCTTCTTCTTACTTCACGGCAATAAAAGCGGTAAGCTACTGGCCAGAATGTTAGCCAAACAGAGACAAAGAACGTACATCGATAAAATGAGAGACGGGCAGGGCACCCTGCACCACCTACCCTCTAAAATCCTCGACATAACGCGGGAATACTACGCGAACCTATACGCCCTCCCCCGGCCCCTCCTAGACACGGCGAAAGACAGACTGCGGGAGAAAATACAAGCCTACCTGTCAGCCCACCCCCTCCCGTCCATAGACCAGGTAACCGCAGAAAGCCTAGACGAACCAATTTCGATAGAGGAACTAGCCTATGCCATTAAAGTGACAAAACAGGGTAAAAGCCCCGGTCCAGACGGGCTCCCGTTAAAGTATTATAAAACGTTCGCGGAACATCTATACCCCCCTCTCCTAGACGCCCTGAACGCACTAAGGGAAGGACATCACCTGCCAAAACAGTCACTGACCGCACACATCGCACTCATCCCGAAGGAAGGTAAGGACAGGGAACACTGCGGGAACTACAGGCCCATCTCACTTATCAACTGCGACGTCAAACTGTTAGCAAAGATACTGGCCACACGCCTCCAGACACACATCCCCACTCTAATACATCCAGACCAGGTTGGCTTCGTCATGGGCCGCGAAGCAAGAGACAACACGATCAGGGCACTGACGCTCATGCACAGATGTAATTGCGGGGACGAAGGCGTTCTACTGCTGTCCACGGACGCAGAGAAGGCCTTCGACAGAGTCGACTGGCAATACATGTTCCACACACTGGCCCACACTGGGCTGGGACCGCACTTCCGGAGATGGGTCGAGGCACTGTACGACGGCCCCACAGCCCACATCATAGTAAACGGAGCCCTGACGAGTGACTTCCCTATCACCAACGGCACACGGCAGGGGTGCCCCTTGTCACCCCTGCTTTTTGTGCTGACACTCGAACCCTTCCTGACGCACATACGACAGGACGCAGCAATCAGGGGCATTGGACATGGAGACACACAACACAAGGTCGCGGCATACGCCGATGACCTCCTCTTCTTTATCACTAACCCGGAGGTCTCGCTCCCGAATATCCTGAAGGCCTTCAGGACCTTCGGAGAGATATCCAACCTCAAGATCAACTTCACAAAATCATACATCTTGAACGTTAGTATACCAGAACACAGAGCTTCCCCCTTAAAGCAGAGCCACACATTCCAATGGGCACAACATCAAATACAATACCTAGGCACATGGCTGACGAGGAGGGAACCTGATCTATTCAGACACAACTTCATCCCCCTGCTAAACAGGTTCCGGAAAGACCTGTCGGACTGGGCATACCCACACATATCCTGGCTGGGCAGGGTCCAGGTTATAAAAATGAACCTGCTCCCACGCCTACTATATCTCATGCAAGCCCTACCCATTACCATCCCCAGATCATTCTTTCAGGCCCTGCGACAGGAAACCGGGAAATACATTTGGGACCGCAAAAGACCGAGGATCAAACTAGCCGCACTGACGTTGCCCAAGGACAGGGGGGGACTGGCCATACCAGACTTCTCCCTGTACTACGAATCCTGTCACCTCCAACGAATTATGGAGTGGACAAAAGAGAAGGTGCATAAGAGATGGAAAGAGGTAGAGGAAACGGATGCGGGGATACCGCTGTCCATCGCCCCATGGCTGGGGAGGGGAGGGAGCGGGAGACAAGGCACACCCTACACAACCGCAACCCTACGGGCATGGGAGAGAGTAGCACAGAGATGCAGACTAGCACCATTCCCATCCCCCCTTCTCCCTCTCACGCATAACGACAGCTTCCCACCGGGGCTAGACCCCAACGCATTCAGGGACTTAATCCGACATAAACCACCTAGACTACACCACCTGCTGGCAGGCACGGAATGCAAAACACTTCCGACCCTATTAGAGGGAGCAACCCCCACCCTCCTACACCACCTAAAACACAGACAACTACAGAGCTATGTACACACCCTCCCGGGGGGCACGGCACGGAAACGTGATCCTACCACATTTGAAAGAATGTGTATGGACCCAGACCCGCAACCACACGGGATCTCACTCATTTACTCCATGCTACAGAGGGAAACACCAATGGAGAAACCCAAATTCATGGGGAGATGGGAACAAACATTGGGGAAAACCTTCACAGACGGGGACTGGGAAAAGATATGCTATTTAACGCATCACTGCTCAGTCTTCAGCAAAACACAAGAAACGGCGTTTAAACTGTTAACGAACTGGTACTGCACCCCGATCGCACTCCATGCCATGGACCCGGAACACACGGATCTCTGCTGGCGGTGTAATAGAGAGGCCGGCACAGTACTCCACCTGTGGTGGGCCTGCGAAGCCATAAAGCCCTTCTGGCGGGGTATACACGGCTTCCTCAAAACCTTCTCAGACACGCCACCCCCCTTCCTCCCAGAACATATGCTCCTTCACCATACAAGGTCACCTAGAACGAGATACAAGCACTCACTAACCATTAGAATACTAAACGTTGCCAAACAATTGATCCCTCAATTCTGGAAGCAACAAACGACACCCCCGTTGACATCCTGGTTCTCCCAAATGGAGGAACTCAGAGCCATAGAGGAACTCATTATGACCGCATCCAACTCCTCGAATAGGTACACGGACATATGGACCCACTGGATACTGACTACCACCAAGGCAGAATTCACAAACAGGCTCCAATATGACACATAAGGACAAAGTGACGAAGCCGCATAGACCGACAAATACAGAGACGACTTAGACAGACGCAACCCAGACGCGGACGCACCCCGACCCCCCTACCTCCCTAGACGCCACTACCCGGACATCCCCCAACCCCAAATACTGCATGCGAACAGACAAGTACTTGGCACACGCCAAGGACAACATAAGAGAAGACTTATAAGGCCTTCGGGAAGACACTCACCCCTCCACGAGGGGACAATAGAACAGAAGACACCCACATGCACGCACTACAGATCAGGCCGCGGGACTTAACGTGAGACTCAAAGGGGCCAGCGGACCCACCCTGACACTTGGAGTTTACTGGAGGTAATACCTGACCGCCTTACTGCAACGAGACACACGGGCCCGACACCCGACTATAATACCCGCTACATAGTGACCAACACGACACCAATGCTGGTTCCGCAGACCGTCTTTCCTTTTCATAGGCTGCTTCTGTTCCACCCTAAGTGGACCTGCGAGTCCAAACTGAAGTTTACCTAATGTTACCTAACAAACGAAGCGACCGAATGCAAACGTCACATTAGTTTAGGGACAAGAACTGCATGCTGAAAGGGACCTGCGAGTCCAGCGAAATTGTGGGCCTGCGCGCCCGGTTGCCCGAAGTAAAAAAGTTATGCACATGTTGTACCTTGGTTACTGTGCCCTAAAGGCTTACGGAGACCTGCGAGTCTCAATGTGACTTATTCTTGACAATATAAACTGAAATAAAAACATATTTACAAAAAAAGAATGAGGGAGAAACACAAGAGCCAACAGAGCTCACTAAACAAGACAGCACGAAGCACCGAAGCAGTTACTTGGGTAAACAGAACATGAAACAGCAATTATGAAAACACATAAAATTACACTGAAATCACTGGTAATGACAGGAAAAAAATAAATTGTACTTAGCTGAGGAGGCAGCAGCAAAGAAAGAGGAGTGGCTTATGGCCACATGGGGACTTATGGTGCATGGAGCATTCTTATTGGATGTCATGTTATGTTATTAACCCTTTGAGAGTGAATTTTTTGAAGAATATTACAGTATCCTTTCTTTGCTGCTGAGGAATAAATAAAGAGATAAAGTATAATACTCGCCTCTGTGTCCTTTAATAAAATCTTTAACCTGAATCCCCACACACTGACACTCCCATAAACAATGGTAAAGGTCTGCTCCATTATACCTGCACTTCAAACAGTTAGCTGTAGCTGTCATTTTTAAAGTAAATTGTTTTTGAGGAGAATAGTAGGAATAGTGTGCAATATTCAAATGCATCTCCTGATAAGAGGCACCTGGAAATAGTTTAAGCAATTTAACAGTGGTTGCTATGAGCACTCAGAAGTTAATGTAGGGAAGCAAGCAATCCACTGAGATAAACCCGGTTGCGTTGTTGAGTAGTCCAGTTGTGGCCAAATTAGGGAACAGAGGGAGCTAATGCAGTAAGTAGGAGTGGTGGACTGTGTAAGTAAACAATCAATGGGATGATCCCAATCTGCAGAGTCATAATTCGGAAGAATAGTGTGAATCGAGGTACATGTCTGGATGTATGCAAAGAAAGAACATCAAGGTCAGGAAATTTAAGTTTCATTTGCTGAAATAAGAGAATCGACTTATTGTGATCATCCAGAAAATTGAGTATCTTAGTATGGCCCTCAGCCAACCAGGACTGGTAGGAATATTGGACTTCCTCATCCGGAAAGTGTGGGTTACGCAAAAAAGGGATAAATGTAGTGTATTGAAGCCTTAGGAGAGGTCCCACTAACTTCCATGTCTTAATAGTGGAAGGAAGCACTGCTTAGAATTTGACATTTTTGCCCAGCAAAATACATCATGATTGGAGGAAGAAACATAATCTTCACAACCTCACAGGCTGTATTTGTGACGGAGTATCAAATTACCAAAGAGCCCAGTCATTGTGTCACCCCCCTGAAAGCCTAATTTGCCCTGGTGGTCTAGCAGGGAACAATAAAGGAGTGGCAGTTTGCTCCGTGCTGTTATACAAGGATCTGACATCAGTAAGAACATTTGAGGGTGCAATGAGGAAATCGCTGTAGTGTTAAACCACCGGGAACCTGAGCCTCACTTTTAAAAATATGGAAGAGGATTGAGAGATATCAGCAAAACTGGGGACCCAAACATTTTCATGCTTTTTCACCATCTCAAGATTTTCGATCTCATAGAACTAACTCTATTGTCTACTGGGAGTAAAATAGAGTATTAACAAAAAAAATGATGCTGTAAACATTGCAATTCTTAAACTCAGAAAATCCCATTGGGTAAATGCATCCCAGACCAGCCTGTTCCTGTCTGTTTCCATGAGAGTGCATGTAACCATACTGTTATTACTGTTTGCTTATGCAGTCTTGTTACAAATGTACACTTTAGAAGGGATAAATGCTAAGATTAGAGCCCTACCTTTTTCCTATACACAGGCACACTTGTATCGTACTTGTCATCTTACATTAATTACACCTTATATTATAGTTCCCACTCATTACAAGCTTGACTAAGTACACAGAGGTAGTCACGCATGGATGCTCCAACAATTGTTACCAGAATATCTTACAACTAGATTTTAAGCTTCTACAAAAAACTGAAAATGCATTATTACATGCATGCAGCAGCTGTTCCTTTACGGTTGAGTTCCCCAGCAATGAAATGGTTACTGTGACTTGATAGCAAAATTCATTTTGCAGGTTTACACTGCAATAACAGATGGCCCCATGCAACCCTGAAACATGGATGGATCAGATTCCATTCTTAACTCTTTGATTACTGGAGGGCTTTTAGCCAGTGCTGGAAGAAATGGAGTTACCATACAGCAAAATTAAAAAGTATATTGAAATATATTTTTAAAGGAAACCACTGTACATTTGTAGTCACCATACGCACCACTAGTATGGGTGGCAGCTCTTAGCTGATTACTGGTTATTCACAGCCCAAAAAGGACACAATATTTTATTATTCTAATCAACATTTATAGAGCGCCAACGTATTCCACAGCGCTTTACACACTATTATAAAGGGGACATTTTAATTTGGGATACACCGTTACAGGAACAATAGGTTGATGAGGGCCCTGTTCGAAAGAGCTTACAATCTAGTATTTTAGTATTTCTGTGGCCAATAAATACACATGTCAATAAATATTATTACTTATGTGTCATTAAGCATATTCAAGATACTGTACACAACACTCCTGCAGCAGATATATGTATTGTGGCATGTCAAGTAACAACATTCTTAAGTTTTAATGTTCATTGTGTTGTTTTCTGTGTGAATGTAGTACTTGTTTTAAAGAACCATTATACATTTGCAATGATCACCTTGTTCTTATGTTCAATTACAGCTAACATGGATGGTGAGTTAAGAAGAACAATTTGAATACAGGGATCTTGATATATACCTATTAATGGGCAAGGAGCACTTAATTTCATGTAAGTGCAATAACAGTAAGTATTTCATATTTTGTATGACATAAAATCCATGAAATTGTAAATGTTTACCGCTTTTAGTCTGTTATCTTTTTTGTATATGTTGTATATTCTGAAGATTTGAAAGGATTCTTGTAAGATACAGAAGTTAAGGGAGGGGTAGAAAAATTGTGTTTCCTAAATGTTCTCACTGGTCGTTATTTATTCAAAATAATAATAGACCAGAGATGCAGACCCACAGTATATGATATTCCAAATGTAATTTACCATATACATAAAAACAAATAGGGTTATCTACTTAAGTGAAAATTATGGTGAACTCAAAGTGAATTTAAAATTTAAGGCCATAGAAATTGAAAATTTTGCCAATTTGGCTATATCTGACATATTTGACATACACTTAAAATTTCTGGCAGTTCTCACTAATTACTATCTCTGAAAGTATCACACAGTGGCATCAATTTAATATTTTTAGATTAGCTTTTCACATGATTTAATAGCTGTGGAAGGGGGAAAGGGGTAAAAACTTACCTTTTTCCAGCGCTGGGCGGGGAGCTCTCCTCCTCCGATCCTCCTCTTCTCGTCCCATGCGGCTGAATGTGCACGCGCGGCAAGAGCTGCGCGCGCATTCAGCCGGTCACATAGGAAAGCATTATCAATGCTTTCCTATGGACACTTGCGTGCTCTCACTGTGATTTTCACAGTGAGAAGCACGCAAGCGCCTCTAGCGGCTGTCAATGAGACAACCACTAGAGGAATTGGGGGAAGGCTTAACCCATTCATAAACATAGCAGTTTCTCTGAAACTGCTATGTTTATAAAAGAATGGGTTACCCTAGCTGGACCTGGCACCCAGACCACTTCATTAAGCTGAAGTGGTCTGGGTGCCTAGAGTGGTCCTTTAATAGACAGCAGCTCCTAAATCTGTAAAATTATCTTTTATCCTAAAAGTAATTTATATATTTTTAATGTAAAGCGCTGCGGAATAAGCTGGCGCTATATAAATACTAATAATAATAATATTTAACTACTTCATGGGATGTTATGCTAGCACTCACCTCCTCTGCAAGACTCCCAGTCCCTCCTGTCTCCCACCCCTGTTCTATTTGAATACCCCCTGCTTGGAACACTTCTGCAAGCAGAGCTATCCTCCCCTTTGACGCCAACATGCTCGCTTCTTTGCCAGTACATCAACATTAAACAATCTGACGTCTGAGAATGGATTGACAGAGAGAGGAGGGGCTATATTCCTCCATGACTTATTCAGAAAATCTATACATTTACAAGCATTTCTCAAAACACAATGTATGGATGACATTTAATAATTTCATAATAATTTCATACCAAGTCAGTTACACTTTAAATCTGAAACAGAGAATGAAATATTTATGTATTTATTTGCTGTTACTTCATTATTTAGGCAATTATTGAAAAAAAAAAAAGTTAAACTTTTTTTATTGTAGCATGAAACAATTGTCATATTAAACAATTGCTGGATAAGCGTTGCATTTGTAAAAGGTAACTTCCGCTAAAAACTAGTATACTGAGACAGTCATGTTGACACACACTGACAGACACACATTGACAGACAGATACACACACATCCTCTCACACACTCACAAGGTATTTTTTTTATTTGATACACACACAAAGAATCATAGATGCACACAGGCAGACACATACACACAGACAGACATACATGCATGACAGATATACACACAGAAAAAAAAAGTGAATACATATTTTAGCCACTCTCATGATTCCTACCTTTTGGGCACAGGAGAGTTGCTTCCCTGGGATTCAGTGGGACTGGGCACAGTAGCAGACATTGGCCTGGCTGCAGCTAATGGGAGTGGGCTGCTGCTGGTCAAGACTCCTCTCCTGCACCAGTCTCGGTATCACATGCAGCTCACTGTGCGCTGGGAGGAAGTTAAGGGATCTGCAATTACTTCCTCCTGGTGCTGAAGCCGTGCAGGGGAACGATTGTGCGGGCAGTCGGGTCTGTGAAATGTGGGCATGCATTGGGTCTGTGAAATGGGGGCGGATGGCGAACAGAGACAATTTTAGCAGGTGTCCTGCTAGCTTGCTAGTTCTCTGTGCAACTGCAGCGCCAGGAGAAATTAATTACAGATCACTTCCTCCCGGTACACCTGCACACAGAAAGCTACACAGGGATTGAAATAGAAGGAAGTGGAGTGAATTGGTATATCAATCCCAGGCGCCTAGGCAAAAATTTTAGTCACCATGGTGACCTGGCGCCTGGGATTTGTCAAGCCCTGCTTTAAAAGGTGATTATAAAGAGGATAGCAGACATCTTAGGTAGCGAGGAACCTCATTGACAGGTATGTCTTCTGAGACAACTCTAATCTGGAGCTTACATTGTCACCTAGAGTCTTCAATCGTTGCCACTTTGTCTTCCATAATTAGGTTGGCCTGCTTGAATTTTCCATCTCTATCCTCAAATCTTCATTTCTGCCTCTTAGAATATTACTGTCACCAGTGCTTGCAGCCGATCAGTCATATCCTTCATATCCTCTTGGACAACTGCTATGTCAACTGCAAAGAGAGCTTTGATTTCCTTAAGATGGTCAGCCTTACTAGCCTAGGTCCTTACTGCATCCTATGGATATCAGCCTTACTAGCCGTAATATGCACCGGTGCTTTGGTGGGACTTGTCTGCTTGTCCCTCCTGAGTTGTCAGGATTACTCTCCTGAGATGTGTAATCTGAGAGCTCCAGTGCGGGTGACATCTTTGCAGGCCGCGATTGCAGTGTCATGCAGTGCAGATCACTAATATCTTAAGAGGAGGCAGTGGTTTCACTCCGTTAAAGTTTAGCTTTCCTTCCCATACTATGCAGCAAAATTTTAGCAATGGTATAACACAGTTTTTGCAGGAAATTATGTTCGGATGACGAGTATTTCTCAGGAGCTCTAAGCATGTGCATCTGCTTCCCTTCGTTGTTAGCATCGACCCCCAAAAGAATTAATTTTACAACCAACACATTAAACAGCATACAGTGAATTAATATCAGTTTGCCTATTAACAATATGTTCTATTAGAATAAGAAAGCATGATTTGAAATTAGTGTTTGTTAGACTGTGGGGTAATATGAGGAAATGCTACGTTACAGAAAGGTTAAGTAGATACCTAGAAAGATCTTCCAGTAGATTTTGTAAAGGGTAAAGCAATAAAGGAATTTAAGAATGGCTGGGATGTGTATTAATCTAACCTAAAGAACATATTCACAAAATCAGTCTGAGCTTTCATAATAGACTAAATGGGCCAATTGCTTCTTATCTGCCATCACAATCTATGTCTGTATTTAACTTACAGATAAAACATGTTAAGGGATAATTTACACAATTACACAAGTTTGTGTATTCTATTTTTTGTTTATTATATTTGAGCTAGTATACAACTCACAATAACTGTGAGATAATGAAAAAATATATTAAAAATATGATATGTGTTAAGATACAGATGAGCAAATGTAATGTTTAAACAAAATATTGTTATAATATAAAATTAAGTGATGCTCAATGCTTTATTGCAATCATTGATTAATTAATACAAGTAAAAAAAACCTCAAATTTAATTTGACTTTTTGCTAGTTGTACAATGGATCTAGAATATTTAGCTACCTCTATATTTATTTAATTAAAATTTATTTATCTTCAGATTGTAAGCTCACCAGTTACCTACTTTTATTATTAGCCATTATATAGCTTAGTACTTTATTAAAAGGGCTGTGAATCGCCAGATCCCAACTCGCAGCCAAGGTCCTACATTCCTTTTGTATCTGTGAGTCTATAATGTACTGTCTATTTTCCCCGATTCTACAATCCTGTGCTATATGTTCTTACTTTATAAATACCAGTAATCATAATAATATAAGAGTGTTTCCTAGAAAATGTTGGAATTAAAGGAGCAGTCTATGCACCATAACCACTACATACTTATCAGGCCACAGCATTGTTTCACATCTGCATTAGCAAAATCTGTTTTGTTCACATTTGGACAGCTGTGATAGGCGGAGTAAGTCAGTGATACAATAAAAAAAATAAAAATAAAAAAGTGTCCCTTTATGTAGAAGTGGAATACTTGTAGCATGTCAACTTATGCAATATGTAGAGAGAGCTTGTAGCAGAAGAGAGTTGGCAAGGAAGGCAGGAGGGCAATTGTCTCCCAGGCCACACGCATACTAGTTTTGGGCTGTAGCTTCACATCACCATTCTTCTGATAATTAAAAAAAACACTCCAGGCACTAAAACAACCACAACACACATCCCCAGAATCCAGTTGTCTCCAGCAGGAGATCCAGCTTGCTCTACAGAGCAAAATAAGGCCATTATAGTCTGTGAAAGAGTGGGTCCTGCTTCAGCTTCATTCTATAGACATCCAGTTTTTCTTGCAGGAGAAGACATGATGTGGCACAGATACCTGGTAGGACCCAGGAGAGATATCAAACCATACTAGAATAAATGTTTACTGTGAGACAGCAGTATGGCGCTTCTAACAGCACTGCAGGAGTAAGGTAGGAATTGTCCAGGGCAATATCTATATAGGTTAACATGCAACCTTTTTTTGCTTTTTCTTAGGGAAGCTTACATAAAAAAAGAGTCCGGCAAGATGGGTTGATTTGGTCTCAAAAAGGACCATTTGCTTGTACATACCCAAGGCCAAAAGTTCCCAGTCTTTCTCTGGCTTGTACTATACAAAAACATATTAAAACATGGTTAGAGTAAATGAGGTTTTAGCTTATAGTCACTCAGGAAATGGATAACCTCTTGTCTTTCTGATTCTATATTTTAAATAGAATTGCACCAACACAACCTGTTCCTGAAGTCCTGATACATATTAATAAACACTGATTTAACCATCTTCCCTGTTTAGGTAAAAAGTTGCAAATGAGGCAAATGCTGTGTATGTTCCAAGCACTGATCTCTGGATCAGATTAGAATTCCCAGCATTCTAATGTCTGTTCTATAAAGTGCTAGCATGTGCTTGGCAGTATATAAATACAAATGTACTTTACCTAGAAAAGGATGACACTATCTATCTTGAGCAGTCGCAAAGCAAACACATGTGAAAAGTCGCTGATACAAAGCTAATACACTAAATATTATTGTAAAAATATTTTAATGTACATAGATGCCTGCTTTGATTTCCAATGGACTGGCTGCATTATAGATGTCTTTATTAACACTATTTCTAAAACATCTATAATATATGACAAATCCAATGTACAGTGCTACGGAATTGTTGGCGCTTTATAAATAATATAAATATTAAATAATAATAATACTCCTCACTTCACCTCCACCCCCTACTTGATACATATTTGCAATACCAGTTAGAGGTCATACTTACTCCAGTTATGCATAAAAGAACAGCAATATTTATTTATTAATATTAATATATATATATATATAGAATATATTTTACATAGGTACATTGATCTTGAGGAAGACCCGAATGGGACAAAAATTCTGTCATTTTTTATGTAAATACCTTTATGAAATAAATTTATATTTATCTACAAAAAAAAGCCCTGAGAGTGCATCTCTTCATTAATTTTTATATATAAATATATTTACATTTGAATGTATAAACATACATTTATATATATATAATTAAAATAATAAAATATATATTTATGTGTATACATTTAAATGTAAAATAAATAAATGAATGAAATATGTATATATATATAGCCCTGGCGAACAATATAAATATGTTATTATTATTTTTCAAGAGCAAACATATTCTGCAAAATAATACTATTAAGTTATTAAAAACAAGTATTTATTTATTTTAAAAAAATCTATTTAACTGATAAATGTGAATGGCTTTCCCTATAGGTTATCCCAGTGATTCTAAGTGTTGCTCTGGATGCATGGTAGATAGCTAATTACAGCAGCTAATATTCCACCACCAGTCAGGTACCTTTTCTTGTGCTGAAACAAAGATTGCATTGGGGCAAGAGGAGAAATGTGCAGCTCAGAGCATCATCTGCCTTGGAGGGGGAGGGGGGCGGAGAGACAGGGAACGGGGAGGAATTCCTTTCCCAGGAGCCTTTTGTGGGGGGAAGGGGTCCCTGAGCAGAGCACTCTGGGAAATCCCTTTCTGAAGTCATCTGATGTTTGATAGACAGAATGCACAGCCAATTATAAGTCATATTTGGAAGTTAACTTATATAACATGAGTAGTAATAAATCGACCCCCCCCCCAAAATGCACGTGTTTCATTTATGATTGAAAGACACTCAATGTAATCACAGCAACTCATAGAAAAAAAAATGTCCTGAGCTAATATGCAATAAAGCTAAAGAGGTCTTTAGCTGTGTATGTATAGTACTTACACACATGTAACATATTGTTTTGCTGTACAATATACATGCCTGGTTGATCTGTTACAATTAAACAGATTAGACACTTCTGGAAGTATAGTAGAAAAAAAGCATATGTGCATTATAAATATATTTATCATCAAGTAGCAATGTATTTTATGATCTGTGCTAAGATCTGGAGATTTTCCTGATCTGCTCTCACTTGCCCCCCTCCTCCTCCTCTCCTTCCCTAGGAAAAAAAAAACCCTCAGAGATGACGGAATGTTCCCACGTTGCAGATATCTATAGTTACACTATCTTTATTTCTTAAATATTTTGGGAAGCACCATCACTAAGTAATTGCTTTTAAAGACCATACAAAACACTATCCATGGCACCAACTTACTGTGACATCCCAGATAAGACGACCTTTGACCTAGTCACATCAAAGCTGTGAGAAGAATGGACTCCTTAGAATTTAAAGTATGCACCTAAGAACGCTTGATGGGCCAGGCATGAACATTTCAGGACATACAGGTGGGGACATATGCAGCATCCCACTGTTAAATGCAGTGAAACAGCGCTTGCTAGTGGCGTATGCGAAAACTGCAATTACAACAGTGAAACACGTCGGTTATATTTATAAATAAAAGATCTAGAATTGATGTTCTAAAACATTTTAGTTTTGGGAGGGGGGGATCGGCTGCTTCGGTTGTGTGTTAGTACTTCCTGAGTAGTGGGAAGTTTTAGAAAACAGATAAACAGTAGAATTATAAAAGCAAGTTGAGTGATGAAGTTTTGCCTTCTCAGAGGCCAAAGACCACCAGGAAAGCCCTGATGAACTCTGACTCACCTTTGTGGCGATTCATGCACATAGCTAGATTCTATGTATATCGTGCAACATGTTTTGTCAGGTGAGCAGATAAGGCAGCTGTACCACCTCCAAAACATTAAACCAATGCTTTATTAGCAATATAGCAACATCATTCATGTGTTCTACTGCCAACTTAGAGCAGAGTGTTTACCCACAAATACCAAATTATTAATATTATCATTACAATAACAGATTTGTAAATTAAAGTACCCCCAATACAAGTATTTTATGTACTGGTTGCTGCTAATTATCTTTACTCTTTATGAAACAGGTACTGATGTAACCCTGGGTTAGGGTTGAATAAATTGAATAAAGGACTGAAAGCTCAAAGCACTATATTTCTGCTGAATAAAGGCAGGAGGTATGCAGGGCAGGCTGTCACAAAAGCATTTGGGTTAATATACAACCCCTTTATTCTTGAATTAGTGGCCTGCACTTTCAAAATTCCATGAGTCACAGTATATGTGGGCTGCCAGTCTATGTATGGTGTCCATGGAATAATTTGTATGTTGCTATCACTAGTCAATGTGTAGAATTCCTTGGTGGCAGTGGGTTTACAGAACCAGCATTTATACCTTTTACATGAGTCATCTGGTGTAACTGTGAGTTTGCATGTATCTGTGTATGCAAGAGTAATTGTGTAGGTGTATGTGTGAGTGTGCATGTATCTGTGTAAGACTGAGTGTGCATGTAGGTGTATGTATCTGTGTAAGGCTGAGTGTGCATGTAGGTGTATGTGTGTAAGTGTGCATGTATCTGTGTAAGGCTGAGTGTGCATGTAGGGGTGTGTGTGTGTGTGTGTGTGTTTGTGCATGTAACTTTGTAAAGCTGAGTGTGCATGTACATGTAAGTGTGCATGTATCTGTGTATGTGTGTGAGTGTGCATGTATCTGTGTGGGTGCAGGTACATCTCAAGTTTAAAATATAAGATACACCTAAAAGGTAAAGGCAGAGAAAAAAATCATAGGGTAACACTATTTGGTAAAATGTGGCCCCTTGGTGATAATAATACACTCACAAGATGTACGAATATTATGAGCCCATCAAGGTTCCTTTAAATACTCAGCTACAGACGTCCTCAATGTCCCAGGGTACATGTAAAAAAAAAAATAAAAAAAACTGGACATAGTTTTATTTTATTTTTGCTGCTACAATTGTATTTTTATTCATTTGCTCCTGAGGAAGTCTTTATTAAGAGACGAAACGCGTTGAGCTTTGTATTGCTGCTTATTCCTGTCTCCTATCCAGCTGGAACAGAGGGACACAGAGACTTATTGATGGGCATTTTTATCTTTCACTTCTTGTAAGTGCGTTTAATTAAAGTGTCTTTTTACATTTTAAGCATTACTGTACTATGTCCAGTTTTTTTTTTTTGACATGTACCCTGGGACATTGAGGACGTCTGTAGCTGAGTATTTAAAGGAACCTTGATGGGCTCATAATATTCGTACATCTTGTGAGTGTATTATTATCACCAAGGGGCCACATTTTACCATATAGTGTTACCTTATGATTTTTTTCTCTGCCTTTACCTTTAAGGTGTATCTTATATTTTTTTTATTTGCAGTTTGAGGACTTTTGAGGAATCCTCTTGTTACGAACTGATATATAAGGGAAGTAATTACCTTTATTTTGTATATATTGCTGCACCTGGGTGGTCTACACATATATATTATTTGTTACATCTCAAGTTTAAATGTATCACGGCCTGAAATGTCAAGTCCTACACTACTAGCGATGTGATTTGTAGAAGAAGTTTTTGCCACTGTATGCCTGGAGGGTCAATGGCACACTCTACCACCAATGGGTGAATTTCTAATCTCCATGGTTGGAGTTTGTGTGAACATGTATTGTGTGGGTAGATCTATGAGTTTAGATGCTAGTGCATTATGTGTCTGCTGCATGTGCAAGTGAGAGGGTTTATGCATCTAAGATTGGTGTAAGTCTCTGGAAGTAGGCCATTATTGAATGGATTCATTTGAAAGTGGTTTTAGGTTGATGTCCTGTTTGTCCATTGCTTTATATCTATGTCTAGAGAAGAAGCCTTATGATTCAGGGCAAATTAGATTATTTTATTGGTAGGTTTACTATAAGAATGACATCCAACAGGAGGTCAAGTGAAATATGCCTACCATGTGGTCCTCAGACCAGCTTGATGTCTTGACATTTACAGCCAGGCACAAAATTCAGCTAGCATTGTATACTGCTAAGGACATACTGTACATAAAAGAAAAATAAGAATACAAGCATAAATATATGTCAAAGAGAGGTTGTGAAGATGAGAATATGGCGGGCAGTGTATTCCTTAACAAAGTATTTTTTTGAAACTTATCAAATGTAAATTGACCCAACTTATGGTGGTGACATTATATTAGTACATTGCATACTGATGCAGGACCCTAATAGTCAGTAAAGATGGTATTCCAGTTAGCCTATGTGACCTATCAGTTCTCTTAAAAGGTCACTCCAGACCCCTAAACAACTTTAGCTTGCTGAAAAGCTTTATGTGTGAAGAGTGTGTCCTCTTTTTTTCATTTTGCTAAAAGTGCAGATTTCAATAGAAATGGAAACTTTTTTAAATTAACTTGGACACACCCTTGGCTTTCAAGCAGACAACAGGTATTGTTACATCCTGCTTTTGTTAGCTTAATGCAGCTGACCTCGAGGCTGCAATTGCTTAGACCACCTGACTTACAAAAACTTCTCATTGAGCTGTGATTGGGCAGCCACAGGAAATCTGAGCAGGGATAGAAGGGGAGAGCTTGCAAAGGCAGCAGACAAGAGAACTTCAGATTTTGTAGTCTGATTTTAGATATAACCCCAATGAAAAAAAATACATAATTAAATGCATACAAGTTTTCATTTGGATTATATCTACTTAACAGTGATTTTTATTTATTTTGTATTTGGGCAGTGGAGTGTCCCTTTAAGTTCTTCCGCACTTCTGACTTAACATGGAAGCTGACGGAAGTCTCTATGAGGAGACTGCGCTCCCCTACTCATCTTGAGGATGTAGCCAAGTTTTCCCCATTCATACCAGGGCCACACATAGATTTGATGCTGTAGAATCTCCATGTTGATATGGTTTGCAGATATTGAGCTGGCCTACATCCCACACCAAAGCACAATCACAGTTATCTTCTCCCAGTGGGCATTCAGGTTGATTTATTGTCGTATCCCTTCATTAAGCCCTTCCCGACCTTGGACGTACTAGGTACGTCCAACAAAAATGGACTTTAAGGACCTCGGACGTACCTAGTATGTCCCTGGTATTCTTAGTACTCATTCGATCGCCACCGTTCCCCCGCCGGCAATTGGTGTTCCTCTCGTCCTGGGGGGACTGTCTGACAAAAAATATATATATAAATAAGTATATAAATACATATGTTATATCTATACAATATGTATGTATATATATAAATATATATATCTCTAATATAAAATGTCATACTAAGTGTATTTTTATATTAATATATAACTATATTAATATAAAAATATAGTTAGAGTAAAATTACACACGTATATATATATATATATATATATAATATATATAATATATAATAACTATATATTGTATATATCATATAAAAAATTATTAATCTAAAAAAATAAAATGTAAAAATAATAGAATAAAATTACATATATATATATATATATTTTAACGGTATTTTGATATTAATATATATATATATATATCAAAATACACTTAGAATGAAATTATATATCTATCTATCTATATATAAATGAATAAAAATAATATGAAATATACATATGTCCATATACATAATTACATAAATATTTTCATAAATATACACGTAGACTTCAAATATATAAATATGTATCTATATTTAAATTCTTTGTGCATATTTATGTAATATTTTTACATAATTAAGTAATTTTATTGATTGCAATTTGGGGGACCTGCCTGACAACCGAAGGTCCAGAGAATTTAATTTGCTAGCACCATATTTTACCCTGTAACTTTCCAAGACAGCCTAAAACCTGTTCATGGGGGTACTGTTTTACTTGTACAGTTACACTCGGGAGACTTCGCTGAACACGAAATATTAGTGTTTCAAAACAGTAAAACATATCACAGCAATGATATTGTCAGTGAAAGTGAAGTTTTTTTGCATTGTTCACACAGAAACGGCACATTCACTGATGATATTATTGTTGTGATACGTTTTACTGTTTTGAAATACTAATATTTGTGTTCCGCAAAGTCTCCCGCGTATAACTGTACCCCGGATGTACAGGGTTTATAGTGTTTTTTAAAAAGTTACAGGGTCAAATATAAGGCTTGATTTTCATATTTAAATTTGTCAGATTAGTTATGTTGCCTTTGAGAGCGTATGGTAGCCCAGGAATGAGAATTACCCCCATGATGGAATACCATTTGCAAAATAAGACAACCCAAGGTATTGCAAATGGGGTATGTTCAGTCTTTTTTTAGTAGCCACTTAGTCACAAACACTGGCCAAAGTTAGCGTTCATAATTGTTTTTAGCATTTTTAACACACAAACAAATATAAATGCTAACTTTGGCCAGTGTTTGTGACTACTACAAAAGACTGGACATACCTCATATTGAATACCCTGGGTTGTCTACTTCAAAAAAATATGTACATGTGAGGTGTGATTCAGAGATTTATGACAGATAACAGTGTTACAATGTCACTATTGATACATTTTAAAAATATATATTTTGAAACAGCTCTGTCCTACAAGTACTTATAGCCCTATAACTTGCAAAAAAAAAAAGCTAAGAACATGTTAAGATTTGGTATTTCTAAACTCAGGACAAAATGTAGAAACTATTTAGCACGGGTGTTATTTGTCGGTTGTAGATGCGTAACAGATTTTGGAGGTTAAAGTTAGAAAAATTAATAATTTTTTTTATTTTAAATTATATGACATGATGAAAATAATGGTATATTTAGGAAGACCATTTAATGGCGAGAAAAACTGTATATAATATATGTGGGTACGCTAAATTAGTAAGAGGAAAATTGCAGTTAAACACAAACACCACAGAAATGTAAAAACAGCCCTGGTCCTTAACGGTAAGAGAATTGAAAAACGATCTGATCTGGTCACTAAGGGGTTAATATAGCCTGTTTGCAGTGTGTTCATTTATACATGTATGTTTTGCTTTTGTTTTTCAGTTTTCCTATTTATTTATGGTAACTAACATGCCTTATGAATGACCTTTTGAAGGTTTTTCCTCATGCGGACTACCAACATGATGTGTATATACCTCAGAGAATGGCTCTGAAATGTTAGTTTTTGCCAACCTAAGCATCGGATGGGGACTGAACACATCTTCATTTATTTGTATAGTGTAACATGTTTATCCACTAGTTGAAGATCTACTGATGTATTGCTATTTACAGTTACATTTCACAAGGAGATACCTTTTTATGAATCCCTATTGATTTTACCTACAGGGAACAAGCAGCAAGCATATGTCACACCAGAAACCCCATCCTACTATTTATTCTCTTTTCAAGAGCCTCTGTGATGTGAATATTGATCATTATACTTACCACAGTAAGAATCTGTGTTTTAAGAAAGAATAATACATTTATTGCTCCCTCCCCTTAGTTGTAGGTAATTCTACTAGGCCTTTCAGTACAGAGCTTATGAATTTCACAAATAGTAACATAGCTCATTGTTTATGACATTCAAGGAATATAATGCATTTTATAGTAAAAGGTGCATTTTTTTTAAACCTCTTATTTACTCACGAGATCCTCCATTTTAAGTGCAGTGCTGTCCTACTACAGGGAACTTGTGCATTCTCGATATAGCCACAACCCATATTCTATATATAGGTACGTCCCGGTGGAGAGCGAGTTTCTTGCCTCCTAGGTGGTCTCTGGGGTCTTGGTGGTGGGCCCACGGGCCCCAGGATCCAGTTGACGACTGGCGTGGGTGGTATGCCCAACTCTTCCATGAAGCGGGGTACCTCTTCCGGCCATCTCAGCGGCACCCATCTGTTTTGGTGGCGGGCGAGTAGGGCAAATGGGAATCCCCACTTGTAGGTGATAGTGCGCTCTCGCAGGGCAGTTGTTACTGGTCTAAGCGCTCGGCGTGCCACTAGTGTGATGGGGGATAGGTCATTATAGAAGGAGATCTGTGCTCCCCTGTATGGCCAGGTGGGCCTCTCGCTGGCTTTTTTAATTATTGCTTCCTTCAGTGGGAAGGAATGTAGGCAGCATACCAGGTCTCTCGGGCCGTCTTCAGGGCCGGACTGGGAATTAAAAGCAGCCCTGGAAAAAAAATATTTACCACCCCCATAATGCGTTGCGCCAGCATAGTGTGCAGATACAGAGTTAGAACAGACAACTTAAAATTAAAAAGTACTTCAATGTAAAAAGCGCACTCATAGGCTTCAAAATAAACAAAAGTGCAGATTTATTTTAAGCAGACGTGCCTTTGCATGTAATCAATGTTTCAGTCCAACTACCTTGACATATTAAGGAAAGCTTGTTAATGGGACTGAAATGGTGAATGTATGTAGGGCACAACTGAAAAAATGTTTATTTTGAAGTCCTGTGGGTGTGCTCTTCACTTTAAATATGTTATTGTGCTGGAGTATGCACCTAGCAACAAGACTGGGCCAATATCTGCTCATTACATATGGTACATATTAATGAAATTTCTCTGTGTATTATGCATTTATAAATGTACATTAATAAGTGTAAATATAATAGGTATATATATTACATTAATATACATGTCATATACTAGTGGCAGATCCAGAGCCTGAGCCTGAGAGGGGCACTTGTAGATTATTTAAAGAAATATTCCATGCACAATAACCACTACTCCTCTGTGTAGTGGTTATGGTGCCAGGAGCGTCGGCACCCCCTCCCAGAGTAAGTCGTCAAACCGTTTAAGAATAGTTTGACAACTTACCTGGAGTCTGCTGGGATATGAGGCTGTATTAGGGTATAGCAGCAGTGGTGCAATGTGTGTGAAAGGTTCAGTGTGTGGGTGGGCAGTGTGTAAATGTGTATGGTGTGTGTGTGTGGGTGCAGTGTGTGAATGTGTATGGTGTGTGTGTGTGTGTGTGTGTGTATGGGGCTAGAGTTCACTCCTACTACTGGGACCACCAGGAAGTGGTGAGAGTGAACTCTAGCCAGTAGCTCCAGGGATAGAGTTCACCCTCGTGAGAGCTGGAGCGTTGCCCTAGGTCCTCTCTTCCTCCCCTGCCGACTGGCTGCACGGTGCCCCCCCATCCACCAGTGATATATACTGCCCCTATGTGTGTCTCTTTATCTCCAGCCCCTCTGTGTGCCTCTTTGTCTCCCCCAGTCACTCTGTATGTTTCTTTCTCCCCCTCACTGCTCCTCTGTGTCAATGTCTCCCCTCTCCTTCCCAGTCTCTCTCTTCCCCCTCTGCCTCTTTCTTCCCCTCCCCTTGTGTGTCTCTCTCTCATTTCTCCCTCTTTGTCTCTCTCTTCCCCCTCTGCCTCTTTCACCCCCTTTCCCTGTGTCTCTTCCTCCCCATCTCTCTCCCTCCCCCCTTTCCCTGTGTCTCTCCCTCCTCCCCATCTCTCTCCCTCCCCCTTTCCCTGTCTCTCCCTCCTCCCCATCTCTCCCCCCCTTCCCTGTGTCTCCCCTCCTCCCCATCTCTCTCCCTCCCCCATCTCTCCCCCCTTTCCCTGTGTCTCTCCCCTCCCCTGTCTCCTCTCTCCCCATCTCTCTCCTCCCCTCTCCCTGTATCTCTCCTCCCATCTCTCTCTCCTCTCCATCTCTCTCTGTGTCTCTCCCTCCTCCCTCCCCATCTCCCTCCCTCCCCCTTTCCCTGTGTCTCTCCATCTCTCTCCTCCCCTTTCCCTGTGTATCTCTCCCTCCTCCCCATCTCTCTCCTGTGTCTCCCTCCCCCATCTCTCTCCATGTATCTCTCCCTCCTCCCCCCTTTCCCTGTGTCTCTTCCCTCCTCTCTCCCTCCCCCCTTTCCCTGTGTCTCTCCCCATCTCTCTCCCTCCCCCCTTTCCCTGTGTCTCTCCCCATCTCAGGGGGCCAGAACCGCGAGGGAGCATGGTACAGAGACATGCTCCTCCTCCATCAGCCACAGCAGTGAGAGGAGTGCCGCCGGACCGGGGAAGCTGCCCCAGCTGCCGCGGCCCACCGGGAAATTTCCCGGTATCCCGGTGGGCCAGTCCGGCCCTGGCCGTCTTCCACCGATCTGGGTCTCAATGCCCTGTGTGCCCTCTCAAACTCAAAGCGTTGGGGGGTCGCTGCCTGCATCATGGTGTGGAAGAGTTCTGTCAGGACTTCCTCCGCGTTTTCTTTCCCTTCTGATTCAGGTACTCCTCGAATCCTTATGTTGCAGCGCCGCCCTCTGTTATCTAAGTCTTCGGCATGCCTGTGTATTGCTAATAGGATTTCACCCTGTCGGGCTACTGCTGTGTCTGTTGCAGTGAGTTTACCAGCGTGTGTCTCAGTGGCTTGTTCCAGCGTGTGGATGCGGCCTGTATGAGTGGCAACTTCTGCTCTGATACCTGCCAGCTCCGAGCGCATCATCTCTTGTAGGGTAGTGGTAATGCTATGCAGGTCCGTTTTGGTGACCATGGAGGCTGCCAGGCTCTTCAGTTCTTCCCCTATTCGCTCCAGGGTAGTGCCGTCTGAGCTCTCTGGGGAGGTAGGCGCCATCTTGGGGCTCCCTGTGCCGCTGCTCCCGCTGAGTTGGGGCTGTAAAAACCCGTCAAGAGGGCCTTGTTGTGTGCCCCTCGGAGTTTGGGGGGCTTCCGGGCGTCCGTTGCGACCCATTTGAGTAGGTTTTGCGGAGATCCGGTGCTTACATGGGTGCGGCGGAGCGGAGCTCTCCTATTATGCTGCCATCTTGTTCAGCGTCCGAGCCACGCCCCATGATGTGGAATTCTCTGTCTGAAGAGGTGGTTTTATCAGAGTCCGTACAGATGTTCAAACAGCAACTAGATGCATTTTTGCAAAAACAGAATATTCAAGAATATAATTTTTCAATGTAGGGTAATAGCTGCTTGATCCAAGGATAAATCCGACTGCCATTCTAGGGTGAAGAAGGAATTTTTTCTCCTAGTTTGTTGCAAAATTGGAAGTGCTTCAAATGTTTTTTTTTTTTGGGGAGTTGCCTTCTTTTGGATCAACAGCAAAAAACAAATGTGAGGAAGGCTGAACTTGATGAACGCAAGTCTCTTTTCAGCTATGTAACACATGTGAATGGGAAGTCATAGGCAGTAATGTTATACTTTGGCACACCTTTTTATTCAGTTATATGGAAAAAAAGCTGCACATGGATTTGTGCAAGTATAAAAAAAAGAAAATAACTAAGTGACACTTTTTAAGTTATTCAGCACTTTATTAGGTTAAAGGAACACTATAGCTTTAGGAATACAAATGAGTTATCTTAACGCTTAGTGCCCTGGTAGCCGTTTATGCCCCTTGGCTCTCACCTGTAGGAACTAAATAAGTTAGTTTTTTAACTTTTTCTCCCTTGCGTCTGACACGCCACCTCCATGACTGAGATCATCAACACTGATGACCACCGCCAGGGCACCTCTTTCCCATAGGAAAACATTGGGAGGATAGTATGTATGTGCGGCGAAACTCCATGCTCCGCCAGCCTCATGGTCTTTTTTGTCTAAGGTGATTGATAAGTTATGTTTACCTACACAAATGTATTTTGTTTCTATTTTATTTTACTCGTATTCCCATGATTTCATGAAGTAAAATAATTGTATTTCACCAGGAGCCTGGTTGTTTCTGTCTCCTTCCCCTTCTGTTCTCTTCCTCCTGCATTAGGACACCTGAGTTAAAGAGAAGAAGATGTACTGTCACCTAGCACACAACAGTTGATGAGATTTGAACCTGTCCTAGCTGGCTCTCCTACATGTGACTGTGTCTAATTTATAATTCACAATCTTCCCTTTACCCAACTCCATTACACTATATGAATAAAAAAAAAAAAAGTAAATTCTTTATTTTTATTGTGCAGTGAATATACAGAGTATTTTTTTTTTGTTAAGTAAATCATGCTATTCAGCTATGTCTAGAATAGATATCAACTTGCGTGTAGCCGTTTTGGCAGCAAAACTAGACAGAGATACTAAAGGGAAAACAATTAATAATGAAAACATTTATACCAAGCTATGTCCATCGTGAGAATGGTGGATTGCTATTTCACACGCTGGCTGTACAGAAATTGTGAGCAATAAGTGCCGTAAGGCACGTGTATAGCATCCTAGTAAGGTATATATGATGAATGCGATCATTGGGTAGTTAAACTAAGCTTGGTGTCCATACTCGCTTGCATTAGGACTAGCATAAAAAATAAACAGTAGCTGTATATCTGAGCCACAGGGGTTTCCTTGAAGCTTGCCTCAGAGTTAATGTTTTACAAAATAATAAGTAAGGCAAAACATAATAAAAATGCAAACAATGTGTATAACAATACCAGGATTGAAAAATCCTGAGAGGCATAACAGGCTTATTATTACTTCTGGTAGGATCCCCATGGTGAGAGCCAGTAGACATAGAGACTACCAAGTAAGTATCATCTATATTGAATACATAGGCATAGATATTAAATAATCGCTCACAACACTACATTCTCGTAGCAGGTCAGCTGCTGTGTGTAGCCCGGGGTTTACCCTTCACAGATTAGTCCCGGAGCCATTCTCAGCCTATGCCAGCATGGGGTACAACGCAGTCCCAGAGTGAAGAGGTACACTGCATGTCATCTTGCCACGATGTGATCCGGTAGGTTGGGGTTCGTATCTTGGGTGTATTGCTGCTCAGCCCTTGAGGTTGTGGTTGCGGTCCTGCTCGTGTGTGCTTGGGTGATTGTTTCAGCGCCATTTTGAGGCTCAACTCTGTGTGTCTCCTACTCCACCGCCATGCTGGGATTCACGCAGCAGGAGATGTGTGCTTAAGTGGGGAGTGTTTGGGTAAGTAAGCTTTGTTATGGGGCAGAGCGGGCTGGAGTATGAGGCGTTCTTGTTTCCACCAGAAGTTAGAGAAGTGTCCATCTATCTTAGAGAGTATGTCACTGGGGGGCTTTGTTGGTACCAGGGATCCCAGGTGTACAGTGCTGTACCTTGCTTGAAAGACCTGCTCCCTGATGTGACTGGAAGGTAAGTTGGTGCTTGCCAGGTGTCAGTAACCTGTGGTGTGTTGTGCTCCCTGGCCTGTTGTGCCTCTGACCCTTAATTCCGTTTCGGGCCTGCCCCTGTTTTGGAGACGCGGTTTGGCGTTGCATCTGGAGGGGTGGACGTTTTGCCTGGGTATCATGGTGGATTCCACGTTGCTTCCTGCAGGCTCGGGGGGAGAGCTTTTCATCCCTCTGACTTCGGCACACATGGCATCCGCCATTTTAACTGAAGCACCCGGGCCGCGTTGCAGGGTGGTAGTGTCACTGGGCTCGGGTTCTGTTGCTGCGGTCTGAACCCCGAGGTGAGGGTCAGGATCACCCCCACTGGTTCAGAGGAGAACAGGGTCCAGTCCTCACGGCCTTGGGTCTCTGGCTGGGCTCTGTTAGGCAGGATAGTGGAGCAGCGGTTGTCCGCCCCACTCACCGCTGGAGTAGGCCCCAATCGGGACATCGAAGACCTTCCCCCCCCCCCGATCAAGGGTTGGATCACACACACATACAAAGACACATCCCACATTTCTCCCCCTCCCCGAGGTCCCAACATGGGAAGGGACTTTGTTCCCTTTGTCTCCCAAGCCCACCACCCAAACACATGGGTTCCCACATTTAGGGACGGGGGGGGTCTCCATCCCATGAGCCTCTGTACCTGGGAGACCAAGCGCGGGACAAAGAGCCTGTCCACGGGAAAAGAGCTGGTCTCTTTGTCCCAGCGGGCACTACAAAGCCCCCTAAATTCACCAGCGCCCCAGAAGTGTCCACACCAACCTCAGGGACCCTCACAACGGCCACTGTCGCAAACTGCCTACGTTTGCAGGGTCTGTGTGTGGAAACCAGGCAAGAGAAGCATCTCCTTTAAAGATATGAATGATCCCCCTGGGTGCCGTTTGTCTATACGAAATGGCGACTACCCAGGGTAGCATTCATTAATTACTTCCCTTGCGGTTTCACACCTATCTTGCGAGTTCAAACATTCTAATTGGGCACTCGGGAGGCCCTCGTTCGGGAAACAATCCACAAACACTCCCCCTGGCTGGTGTTCATCTATACGAATGGCCGCCAGCTGGAGGACTACTCATCAATTGTTTCCCTTGCTGTTTCACACTATGTGGCGAGGTGTAAAGGTTCTAAGCCAAGCATGTCAAACTCAGAAGTCTAGCACGGGCCAAATAAAGTTTATGTGATGCCAGAATATGACGTCATATTCTGGCACCCGGCATCACTACAGATGGCACGCGTGAGGGAGCATGAAGACTGAGCTCCTCCAGCGACCTCTGAGTCTCGGTCGGTTAAATTTTAGCAGAGTAGGCACCTGCAATGTGGAGAAAGCAGTTGCCTACTCTGCTTTAACACTAAGCATGCACTTGCGGCTCACCGTGCTGCAAAGATGTCCATTGTGGGCTGCGAGTTTGACATGCTTGTTCTAAGCCAATATTCTAAATGGGGTATCGGGATCGTCCCCATTCGGGAAACAAATGAATTCCCTTCGTGAAGGCACTCCCGAACGGGGAGCAGGCAGAAGACACGAAAAGATGAGGCAACACATAACGGACAGGAAATTCATGAACAGGCAGCTGTCCCACCACAATCCCTATAGGGGTAAATGTTATTTATATAAGTACTCAAATATATAAACTAGTGCTGATTTGTGGTCATTCAGTTTATACCTTTACACTTGTGTGGTAGCTGCTAAAATATTTTCCCTTGAACTTAATTTAAATCCCCTTAAGTGCAGAACACTCTGTTTTGAGATATAATTAAAAATGCCTGAGGACTGAATCCTTCTTTCAGACAATAAGCGGCATTAATTCTCATCTGATGCCTACCCTATACAAAAACTATAAATACAATTCACTTACAGGATGCAGCTGAATCTCTTACACTAGTGCACCGGAGAAGGAAGCAATAATTAGAAAATGCTCTTATTGTTATTTATAAAGTACCAACATGTGGATTATCAAACAAGTAATTACCATCAGATAAGGTGGACGTTCAAAAACAGAAAGTGCAGAGGGCCATGCTCCAAAGCACTTTATGTTCAAAATAAAGTGAGGTAAAAATAACAAAACACATACATAAGGGTAAGTTTTTTATGTATGAGAAAAGTAGGTTGCTAGAAGAGTTTGGAATTAAGGCTTGTAGGTTTATTCACAAAGTGAGAATTAAATTTAAAATGTACATTGCTCTCCCTCACGTTGAGGCAAATATCCCCGTGGAGAACCTAAGATGGCCGCCACTCTGACTGAGCACCTGTCCCACTGGGAAATCAAGGTCAGTGCGGTCTTCAGTCCGCATCCTTGTAATAATGTTGCACCAGAAGTCTTGCAGGACTTAAGTCTGACTGCTTGAGCCAGAGAGCATGAAGGGACACCAAACCTGGCTTGTGAGTGGGAATGGTAAATCGAGAAGGTACTGTGGTCTTACAGTACCCCTCACGCACTGGAAGATTCCTACCTGTGCCCGCGATCCGGGAAAGGAAGCACTCAGCATTGATGGACAGCAGCCCACGCCCCCAACTGCATTAGAATTGCGGAATTGGCTGAAGAAGGTACTTTGGCTTGTATAAACACGTTACAGTGGTTATGGTGATTTCTAAGTACCTTACCTGTCACTTGCCGATTTGCCTCTATCTATATCACTCACTTCTCATTTACTAACGCCTCATGTCTCTAGGCTAACATATACCTGATAGCTCTTAACATAGAACTCTACCTGGTGGACCTTTCTCCAATTGTTAACTCTCACATAGACTATTCATGTTGTTACATTCTCATATCCTAATCTACCACAATGTCAGTCTGTATACCCCTATTTCTTCACCACTCTAGACTACTCATATACTGATTTACTGTGAACAAGCATGTTTTCTTAAAAAAATTATTTTTTAAAGTGCAGCACATCTTCACGTCGCAGGTCTACATATTGTCATAAGTCATTACTAAATTCTGGTTCTTGCTTTCAAATCTCTACATAATGCTGCTCCCACCTATCTATCCTCCCTTATACACAAGAATGTCCCGTCTAGGCCCTTACAATCTGCTGAAGACTTACGTCTATCTTCTGTCCGTACTCCCACCTCTGATGCTCGCTTCAAGACTTCTCGAGGGCTGCACCGTTCCTGTGGAACTCACTTCCCTCCTCCGTTAGATGCTCACCCAGTCTCCACTCCTTCAAAAAAATCGTTAAAAACCCACTTCTTCATAAAAGCGTATCAATTAAACCGTTAATAGCTCCTGACTGATTCCTCTTCTGCAACTATCACTAGTCTAATACTATCCTTACCTTTTGTGTCATTTTACCCCACTCCCTCTAGCATGTAAGCTCATTGAGCAGGGCCCTCAACTTGTCTGGTTACAACTACATGTCTGTTCGTCCACCCATTGTAAAGCGCTGCGGAATTTGACGGCGCTCTATAAATATCATAATAATAAACCTTGTACTTATCACTGCACCCCTAAAAAAATATATATAAAAATTAAATTGCTTTGAAGGTCAAAATTGCTGAACTGAAAAACGTCTCTAGGTCAGCTATGCTTTCAGTTTGGCTACTCTGGCCATAAATCTGAAATTCTCTTAGAATTCTTACTTTAGTGAATAACCCTGTTATTTTATTTACATGACAGTGGCAGGAGAGGAAGCAAGGTGGGTTAGATTTGGGTGGGAAGGGAAAGATAACAGTTTGACTGATATGTCTTCTTGAAGTGAGTTTTTGTAATTTTTTTGAAGGAACAGATACTGGTTGATAGTTGAATGGAGCAGGGAAGGAAGCTTCTTAGGAAAAGCCACAAAATATCCTGTTCCCCAAAAGTACCTCAACCATACCTAGGAACCCCACAAACAGCACATTCCCCGATAGCCCCAACATATCCAATAATCACTCAGATCAGTAGAACAGAAATTCCATCGTGGTGAAGTTTTGACCGGCCAGATATGAGGCACTAGCCCAAACGAGTTCCAGTGAAATAGGTGTCCTGGCCGATCTCCATTCGTTAGGTTCCTATGGGAACACCATACAATGGAATCTCTAGTTTTCCGGATACAAATGCTCCCCCTGTTCGGAAGTCTCTATCTCCCAAAACGCTGTTCGTAGAGGTGGCCAGGAACAAGAACGGGCAGTGGTAGAACGTTTACCGGTGTTCGCGCGAGTACCTAGCCGAAAAGATTTTCAGGTACTCGACAACCAAGTATCTTGTTGATTTTTAAGTCCTATGAGTGTGTTCTTTATTTTGGCTGAGATCATCAAACTTTATGATCTCAGCCAATCCAATGCTTTCCCATAGGAAAACATTAGAGGCTAGTGTGCATGTGTGGCACAAAGCTGCGCGGCCAATCCGCATCTCCATGGGGAGCGTTCAGCACCTCCATGCAGACCCAATCAAATACACTGTCCCCCTCCCTCCACTCTTATACACCACCCTGCTACCACCACTCTAACACTCTGCCCCCCCATCCCACCACTCTAATACACTGCCCACTCTCTCCACCAAATTATTGCACTGCGAGCAGGAGGAAAGGGGGAGTGGCTGGCCTGCGGGAGCAGGTGATCAGCCGTGGGAGGGAAGATAAGAATCAGAGAATCCCAGCCCCAATACAAAGTGGCCCCAAGGCAGGTGGGCTGCAAGTTTGTATTATAATTTGTTCTAATACAAGCATGTCAGTTTCATTTGTCAAAAGAAATAGTGTCTAATCAGGGATATGAATAACAGACATGTTCCTAGTTTGCAGTCTCACAGCCACACCTACATACATCAAAACTGGATTGTGAGATTTTTTTTTGTTTTAAATTACAGTAAGTATTAACAGTTTGTCTAACATCCATACTACTTAAAGTTTTCCCTTGTTAGAAAAAATTTTTCCAAAAAAAAAAAAACCCAAAAAAACCCCACAAATGCAAATTGTTTATTTTCCCACTTTTTTTTATTTGAAAGAGAGGGAAAAAAAAAAAAACCCACCATCTATTCAAGAGCAGACAAGAGATTGCTGAATTTTCTCTTTAAAATTAAACCAGTCTGTATTTAATCATGAAGATACAAAATTAAGCCTGTATGTAATCTTTGATGAAAATTATTCACTAAAAATGTCCAGAACTCATGGATATTGACCTAAAATTTTGAAACTTAATTTGAACTGAAAACACAGCTGTTTGTTGTTGCAGTGGAATAAACTAGACTGTGAATTTTATATTATACCATGGGAGGCAAGCAAAAAATAACCAGGACTCACATAAAGATATGCTGCACCTAAACAGAGCTCAAAAGAATAAAAATAATATTCATTCTCCCTTGTAAGCGGAAAAACTAAAAGTTTAAAAATAAAAAGTCAACTCATATTTACATCTCTCAAGATTTTTTTTAGTAAACTGAAACATGAATAGCAACTGCCAGGCTAAAGGAGACAAACCGCGTCAATAGATGCATTAGAAATCCCCCTCCCATTTAGCGTAGAATTTGCCATTCAGATTTTAATTTACTAAATTCTGAGTTAAAAAATAAAGCTGAAAGTTTTTTTAATCTCCAACAGAGATGAAACAGATCTGTAGGCTGATGCATTACAGCTGATCCTGGTTCTTCCAACGAGATATCACACCAATAAATAATTTGCTTGTTATATCCTACTATTTGGAGATATTACACACACATAAGGTTTGAGATATAACATATGTGCAGAGCTGCTGTTACCAACATTTTCTTTGTCAGATTGAAACCCTTACAATGACGCAATTTAAAAAAAAAGTTTGCTAATCAAATCTACAATTAAATTTTTTTAAGGAAGGCAAGTCTCTCTCTCTCGTAATGTGCTTGTCCTTACAAAAAAAAAAAAAAATTTTTTTTTTGAAATAAGTGTAATTTCCCTTTAACAAGTGCAATTGAAATAAGATTGTTTCTTTTTGGCCATTTTGTTCTCAAAACAGAAGCATTTTACAGTAATTGTACATGGTAAAAGGAACAACTAAATGCAGTTGTAGCATTGTAACGGTTTGGGGTGAGAAGAGAAACATTATATATAAACCAATGGCCTATCATAAAAATTTTCTCTTTGCAAGTTTGTGTTCTGTTGGTGAAAGCTAATCTGTAAAAGAGTTCTTTTAACACTTTGGACCTTGGTTTTTCAGAGTGGACAATTCACACTTTGGTCCTGCTTCCCTTCTCATAATTCATCATGTTTGGATGAGCCTGGGGCTGAACTAGGTTTGATGAACACTCCTTCCATCGCTTTCCAGTAGTTGTGAACATTAGCGCTTGTCATGCCATGAACTTCTCGCTGACCTCTAATTGGGTGGCTATACTGCTCACCCGTTATGGTTAGGAATACATTTGTTCCTACATGTTTGAACCGCACTGCATCCTCGCGTTCCCATAAAGTATCACTGCACTGCACAGTCCAAGCGTCAAGGTCATCCCCTTCTCCATCATCCCCAAAGGCACTTACTTCCTGTTAATGACAACATAGAAAAAAAAAAAATATATATATATAAATAAACTATAGATATTATTTCAACCCATAGTCAATCTATTGTATTATCACTGGAGGAATAGATATGACAGCACATCTTCCCACAGCTGTGAATGCAAATAGCCAAGTTAGGAGCAAATGGAGTCTAGAAGTCATCTCTACTAGTACAGCCTGCAGCGATGGTCCTTATTACTACAGAGGAAAGAAGATCTGATTTTATCTTTTCAGCCACTATTGCCAAAATTGCTCTGTACCAAATTTGCATAGGCATATTATTTCTACTTTTATATCCCTTCTCCGTCTTGTCAGGATAAATTAACATATGCATATGGAGCTGTTGTGGACCTCATTTACCACGATGCTCAGTCAGCCATCAGCCTGACAAAGCATCATAGGAAAAAGTCCATCACCATCAGTCAAAACAATTATCCACTAATATTTGTTTTAATCTATATTTTCCATTATGATCAGATAGCAGTTATGCTGGATTCACAAAATCTACATCTAATGTGAACTAAACCCCTTAGGGACACTTGACATGTGTGACGTGACAGGTCATGATTCCCTTTTATTCCAGAAGTTTGGTCCTTAAGGGCACTCCGAGCACCAGTCCAACTTTACTCACTAAAGACAAACATCCGTATCAAATGTATGTACAAAGCAGCCTATGTTAGAAGGAGAGGACACCCAGACAGTAAGGAGATCACTACCTGTCTGTGGTATCCCTGACTGCTTGCAGCCAGGTTATGAATTAAAAGCTGCTCTCTGGCAAAGCTGTGTTCTTACATTTGATAAGCAAAACACCTCCTGCTACGTAAAGGGAATTTAGAATCCCGGATGTGCCTCTAGTGGCTGTTTGATAGACAGCCTTAGTCATGCAAAGTAATCACTGCAGTTTCTCAAAAACGGCAATGTTTTACATTGCAGTACTACGTGGGTAAGGGACACTGCACCCACACAACTTCAATGAGAAGAAGTGGCCTGGGTGCCTATAGTGTCCCTTTAAGTCTTACCTTACAACGCTCAAGTAAAGCTCGAATGACCTCAAATGATTAATCATGTTACATTGCAGGAAAACTAAGTTTGGTAGTGCAACCAATGAATGTTGCCAACAAGATACATATGTGGAGGAGATGGCTATAATGAAATGCTGATTAAAGATTTAAGAAAGCCAACAATAAAAACCACACACAATACTGTGGTAAATGGTATATTCTTTACACCAACAAATCATGCCCCCATTTCTGCACAGTCCCTGGCTCGATTATTTTTACTCATGTAATCACTATAGTAACACAGTTCTCCTTTGCAATTTTAAATTTATTGCACTTCCTTTTGTTACCTGGTTGTTAGAAAGAGGGGATGAGAAGTGATGTGTGTGCAGGTTCTTCCCAGTATTCACATGGGTAAGGCGAATTGCTTGTCCACATTTAATAGGCTGCCCACGTGAGCAATCATTATCAGTTTTGCCTCTTAACCTCCAATAGCTATTAGCATCATCTGAGGATTCCACACCAGTGACAGACTGCTGACCACTACCTATTAAGTAGAGAAAAATAAAAAAAGTGTAAACATCAATTACTACTATAGCAAAACAGATCAACGTTATCATTACAAACATTGACTCTGCTGGCTATAAAATAAATAAATAAAATTATTTTACTATCCTTTAGATTCATTCATGTAAAGCAATAAAAAGAAATAACATCATGTTACAAAGATACAACCAGCAAGGTTTCATTTTCTCAGACTTAAACTATTTTCATCCACCCCAAATCTAGGCAATGTGTGCTATTGTCCTAGCATGCATTCCTAGGCTACAAATATTATGCATTCATACCTGTGCTGGCAACACTTCAAATAATTCTGCAGGAATTATATCACAGGAGTTTGACAGCCAAAGTTAGACAAACATGCTCTAACAGCCCCTTTAAGAGGACCACTAAAGGTCACACAGACCACGCCCATTCAATGAAGTAGTCTGAGTGCAGTGGCCCAGTAGTTTTGACCCTGCACACCTCTTAAGACAGCCACTAGAAGCGCTTCCACAGCAGTAATCAAATGCTGATAATAGAAAAGCATTCAATTCAAAGCATTTGATTGGACACCTGTTCCTGTAATAATCTTCCCCATATGTGTGAACAGAATATAATTTTGTTTTTCCATTAAACTCAGGGAGCCATATCAGTTAAAACACAGTTATTGTAACGGTTTTAAAGGAAGAAAAGTACACTGCTAATGTGGTAAAATAGACTGGCAAGGGGCATGATGAGGTAGGGATCGACTGATTATCGGTTTGGCCAAAATTATTGGCAGTTATTGAACATTTTGACAATTATCACTAGATGAATGATTCGCATGCATCTTTAGCTCCTCTTTTCAATACTCACAAGCCCACGGCGTTAAAGCGTCACTTTGGCTAACCATGCTAACGCTCCGCGCAGCACATCAGGCTCTCTATAGTTGTACAGGACCTACTAGAAACAGATGATAGTGTGTGCAGAGTCCCAGCTGCCCCCTCTTCAATGTGAATGGCACCCGGGGCGGATCACGCCCATCCTGGCCACCAAGGAGCAGCAGATAGTCAGGTACTTGTGTACACCAGTGCCATGGTCACTGTCAGGAGGTGGGGGCAGATCACAAACCTGCCCAGACTTCCTGTCAACCATACCTTCACTATGGTAACGGCATGGTGCCTTACAGGCAGAGAGGACGTGCATTGCATGGGCGCAGTTGGCATTGCTTTACTGATGATTTTGAAGTTTGACATGATAAAGAGTAGTCTCCTAGTCAAGCTGCAAAGAGACCTGAAATCAGAAACAATCCTTTTTTGCACAAACATGGTGTATTTTCCATATCGAATAACTTGTCATTTGATTGATGATCCCAATCTTGAAATCAATTGTCCAAGCATATTTTTAGCTTTATCACCAAGAATATCATTACCAGTTACCGGCCCGAAAAGGCCACCGATAATCGATATAGGCCCTTAAAAAGTGATATTGATCGATCCCTGTCAGGAGTGGTCACAAAAGCAATCCCTCATTTTTGGGTCATTCAAAATGGCTGAGTAATCACAGCTCCCTTGCATACCTTGAAGTGGAGCCAGAAGGTGACGTCAACCGAGCTCCTTCATCACCACAAGGTGTGCATGGGAGAGGTGCTGGCAGAGCACATTCCTACAGCAATATCGTGGTCCTCCGACACTGAGTCATTGACTGTGAAGGTGTTTTTAAAGTGGTCTGGACCTAATATTGGTGCAGACAATGGAGCGCCCCCACCAGTGGTTCACCGGGGCCCCTGCCTTGAATCAGGCTCCGGTACCTGGGGTCTGTATGCGCAATTAAATGCTACACATACAGAGTGTAACCCCATTGCTGCTGGAGGTGTATCTCCACATCTGGTAGTGTCATTGGGACATAATTAGCCAGCCCATGACAAGAGTTCCAGGCTGGCTATTTCTATGCGCAGCATGTCATACATTGGCTGAAAGCAGTCAGCTGATGCTCTAACCATTGGCCATTCATTGGCTTTGAGCATCCAGCCTCCTACAGTAGCAGACTGTCATCATAACTAGGAGTACAACTAGCAGGATCCAGGTAACATGGGAAATGCATCATAAGTGTTCTCCATTTCTCTTTGAGAAGAAAATATTGTAAACAAATTCTCAGTGTTTTGACAAATTTTAGATTTACTGAAAGCACCATGAGCACTTTATGATTTTAACTGTTTATGGTCCTTGGAATCTGTACATGCAGAATTTTACTATGAAACTCTGCACATACAGAGATATAGCCATTTGCTTCCAGAGGTACAACACCACCCCTGGCAGAGTGATTAGTACTGTACCAGGCAAGTACAGGAATTCAGGGCAGGCTGTCAGCTCTATGTATGCTGGACTTCTGTTGTAGTTATGCACAGCATGCTCGCAAGAAGAACAACCATGATGGCACCATCTCTTGACATTCATCCCCCTCAAATGTCACTTTTGGAGCATCAAACTGCCGGGAGAACTTGATGCTGGAACAGAAGTAAATTTTAGACTGTAGTGGTTATTGTACTTAATGATGTTTGCAATCCTATGGCCAAAGGGGCAAGTCTAAAGCAGGTATGCTTATTAAACCATTGAGGAAACAGTTGAATGGAATTTAAATGTTATTTTTTTATTATTATTATTTTTAAAAACGCCTTTCCACCATAAAAAGGGAAGTTTTATAAGACGGGCTGACATGAAAAATTATCCAAATCAACTTTTCCTGACAATTCACTGTTTTGTGATTAAATCTCTGTTATAAGAATTGACAAATCTGCTATGCTCAATTATGGAAGACTACAATCTGCAGATTGGCTGGCAGGACTTCTCAACGCCCTGTTTAGTCAATCAATCACAAAGTGGTTATATTCTGTATATTGGTTTCCATGGAAACTGTTGTACCTATGGCATTTTTGCAGCAGATCTACCCACATGGTCCACACAGGATACCCAGCACAGTGCGCTCACACACCAGCTGCCAGCACCGTCCCCACGGCTGCCAGCACTGCCCTGCACCCTACCCACGGCTGCCAGCACTGCCCAGCACCCTACCCACGGCTCCCAGCACCCTACCCACGGCTGTCAGCACTGCCCAGCACCCTACCCACGGCTGTCAGCACTGCCCAGCACCCTACCCACAGCTGGCAGCACTGCCCAGCACCCTACCCACGGCGCCCAGCACCCTACCCACGGCTGGCAGCACTGCCCAACACCCTACCCACAGCTGGCAGCACTGCCCAGCACCCTACCCACAGCTCCCAGCACCCTACCCACGGCTGGCAGCACTGCCCAACACCCTACCCACGGCTGTCAGCATTGCCCAGCACCCTACCCATGGCTGCCAGCACTGCCCAGCACCCTACCCACAGCTGGCAGCACTGCCTCCATGGTGACATTATCCAGCATGGGCACTCTGGGCTGCGCTTTGGCTGTGCATCATGGGGAATGTAGTCCCAGCCCGTGTAGTGGCCATGCTGAGCCCCCCGTATCTCACCCGATCCGTATTTGACATCGTGGGAGTGCAGCCGCACGTTATGCCGGGTGTTCAGCAGTTTCACCACAGAGCCGCAAGTCACGTACTCCGCGTCGTCGCTTCCCCGGGCCGGAAGCCAGGAGCAGCACAGGCCGAGGAGCAGCAGCCCGACACCCGCCCGCAACATCGCTGCCCGGCACCTCACAGCCCCGCCGCGACTTCCTTCAACATCCTCACGGCGACCAATCAGCGAGCGCCAGCGGCTGGAGGACTGACGTCCAGCCCGGCGGACCAATCACAAGGCGACGCAACTCACTATACACCAATGGGACAGGCAGAAGCTTTCCCGAGGGACGGGCTGGATTGGCTGCCTGACTCTGCCACTCATAGGATGTTATTACCGGCCTGTAGACACGAGGGAGAGACTGATTGGTCCAAAGCTGAACCATTCAAAGCAAGCCAACCAATGAGAGGCTAGAGCGTATTGGTCACGGCAAAGACGTTAATTGGCGCTAGAAGGCAGTCTGGCTAATGGCACCTGTCTCATGGCTCCTCCCACAACATTCCACTCACTATATATATGAGTGGAATGTTGTGGGAGGAGCCATGAGACAGGTGCCATTAGCCAGACTGCCATTATCCAGACTGCCTTCTAGCGCCAATTAACGTCAATCCAGCCCGTATATATACGTAACCTGTTCACTATGGCCTCGATTGAATAACCTTTCCAGATGATTCCATCCTGCTTGAATAATGTTCCAGATGATTCCATCCTGCTTGAATAATGTTCCAAATGATTTAACTGCAGAAGTGTATGGGTTTTTTGTATATTAATCTTGGGAAAATGGGAAAATTTTTCTAATAATATTGAGAGCCTAATAAATCGAGGCCAATGTAGACAAATCAAAACTATTAAAAATGTATTTATTTATTTGTTGTTTGATGATTATACATTAATTTGTTACGTGCCCAAATACATAGGGTCGGTCTTAGCACCATAACAACTACAGACAGCTTCCTCTGGACCATTCAATTCTTGAGCGTTAATATTTAATAGCAGATTGACACGTTCCAGGCTCCCTGGGCACCTGTAGTACTTTCCTCTGTCGCAAGCATTTAGCTAATAGCCAAGCGCTGATCCAGCTACTGTTTGTACATACAACACTCAGCCTGTTACCCACTCACTCTCATTAACCATCATGGGGTGACAACCACGATGGTTGTCACGGGCCCGGCAGTCCCACATTCCTTATCTGTAGCGGCGGAATGGCAGCTGCTCCGTGGGCCGCATGCTGATGGGGCCCATCAGGTGGCCCATGCATTCAGGGCCACACGATGGGCATATGTTTGTAGGCCAGCCAGCTCTGCGGCCCTTTAAGAGCACCACCGGGCTGCCTTTAATGATGTCAGCCACAGACAGTGCTGGGAGGAAGTGACAGCCACCTTACTTCGCACTGGAGGAAGAGCGGAGGCAGTGAGGAGGGGAGAGCCAAATAGACTCCCATCAGCCCCAGTCACCCTCCTGCACCCAAAAGGAAAGAAAGAGGAGGGTGGCTAAAACCTGAAACACACACCCAGTGATCAATACAAACACTCTCACACAGCAGTGACTCATACGCGTTAAGGTCAGCACCCATTCAAGTTCTCCCTCACCAGTGCTGGTGATGTCTGTCCCTAGCCTGGGAACAGATGTTCATACATTTACAAAAAAACAAGTCCTGCGCTCACTCCCATCAGTCCTGGGCGGCAGCAATGACCACAGTACACATTAGCCTCAATACATACAGTAAAAACCAAATAAAAAGTTACCTGCGCTCTCTCCTAAATCCCTATGTATATTTAAACATATGGAGATTGTTTAGTTACTCCAATGGCCATTGGAGGGAATGCCTGCCTGCCCTGTTAAGGCAAACCCCCTCAGTTGGGTTCTACACTGACTTTCACCTTGCTTCCTTGAGCTTCTGGCAAAGATTTCTCTAATGAGACAGAGAGGCATATTTTTTATATACACCCCTATATACTTATTAACCCTTAATAGGGAACATATGGGATGGGCGGCAGCATTGTAACAAAGCTGTGTGATACAAAAAGTTAATGCAAATACAAAAATAACCTCCATTTGTTTAAATGTACATAGGGGTTTAGGAGAGAGTGCAGGTAACTTTTTCTTTGGTTTTTACTGTATATATCGGGGCTGATTTGTACTGTGGTTGTTGCTGCTGCCCAGGAGTGATGGGAGTGAGCGCAGGACTTGTTTTTTGTATTTGTATTCACTTTCTGTATCACACAGCTATGTTACAATGCTGCCGCCCATCCCATGTGTTCCCTATTAAGGGTTAATAAGTATATAGGGGTGTATATAAAAATATACGCCTCTCTGTCTCATTAGAGATATCTTTGCCAGAAACTTAAGGAAGCAAAGTGCAAGGTCAGTGTAGGACCCACCTGAGGGGGTTTGCCTTGACGGGGCCACAAAAAGAGGCAGCAGGACTTGGTCGTCAAGGGTCTGGAAATAAAATCGGACACTCGACTTCCCGAATGCCGGTAAGCTTCGCGAATACCTGCTACTTTTCACCGGCCAGTCAGGAGAGCGCTATTTGGTAGGTTTGTTCCCATGAACTAGGGGAACAAACGCTATGCATGAGCCAGGGGAACAGTTTGTGGACTCCCCGAAATAGACTGACCGCTACCTCTGAAACTGTGGAACTGTTTTGGGCATAAGACTTTGTGTGCGGTCGGTCAAATTATGTCTTCCATGGAAATTCCAAACTCCTGAACCGATCTGGGTGATTTTTAGATATGTTGGTCCCCCAGATCGGGGCTATCAGGGGATGTGACTGTTGTTGGGTTTCCATGTGTTTTGGGGGTACTTTCGGGGTGTTATTAAAATTTATGTTTTCTGTGCCTGGAAATAATTGACTTTAGTACAGTTCCTGACTAATTATCTCACAGGCACTGGGGAGGGATTATCTTGTTTTGTGTAGGAGAGAGCCAATGTAGTTACAGTGTGTATTTTGCGATAGTGCCCTCTCAGGTCCACTAGGTAATGCCCCTGGAATATATGTCACAGTAAACCCCTTGCATGGGGAGTTGCATGTAAACCGGCCAGTTGGCCTGAATAAACTCATTCCTATTGTACCCTTTATCTAGTTTAGGCCAAGGTTTGGGTATACATCTGGGAAAATTTACTTGGATACTGCATTTCCTTCTATAGAACATTTAAATCAACACCCGAACTGCGAGCTATAATCACTCAGCCTCTAGCAGTTTGGGAGGAACTGAAAGCCAATGGGTATCTGAAATACCAGCGTTCGTAAACAACTGATGGCAAGCCGTGGGATCCAAACGGTCCAAACACCCGAATCAGGAGAATCAGTGGCCCAGTGGTATGAGACGCTAAAGAGAGCTACGTTAAAAGATTTACAGGAAGCCCGGGGTTGGCCAGCAAGCAACAAAAGCAAAGCTACCATCATCACCGAACTGAGTACCAATGCAAGGTTATGTGGAGACTCAGCTTGTTGGGACCCAACCCTTCGCCGGAACACGTAGCCCATATATTGGCGCAGGATTTTGAAAGACAGTGTGCCTTAGAAGAACTAGACAGAGACAAGTGGGAAGTCATCCTGAGCAGCAACTGTCGGGCAGAGCAGCTGAGGCGTAAAGGGCAGTACCCAACTCAGACATACACCATTATGAGCGGGTAAAGGATATTTTGTTGGCCCTGCTGCAACACCTGAGGCATACAGGAGGAAATTTCGGGGGCTCAGGAAAAACCATAAAGGTCTTTTTGCTGAGCGGACTTTCCAAATGCACCGGGCTGCCAAAAATTGGATGCAGGGCTGCCGGGCAACTTCTCTGGAGGATGCTTTACAACTATTATTACTGGAGCATACAGACTATAGCCCCTATTTCCTCCCCACGTACACTACAACCTCCATCCCCATACAGACTATAGCCCCTATTTCCTCCCCACGTACACTACAACCCCCATCCCCATACAGACTATAGCCCCTATTTCCTCCCCACGTACACTACAACCCCCATCCCAATATAGACTATAGCCCCCTTTCCATCCTAAACAGACTACAGTCCCTACCCCCTCCACGCATAAACATGCGCAAACACATTACACCACAAATGCATTGATCAAATTTTATGCTTTTTTAAAAGAGCATGAGTTGTACTTGGCATTACACGTAACTTTTAAAAAATTTTTACTGAATAGACCCTCATAGTATATATATGTGTAACATTTGATTAGCTGCTGCACTGGACAGCCTATCCTCCTGGTGCACTTGTATACCAGGTGACCCCTTCGTGACCTGGTGCATCACTAGTCCTACACCCACCTGCACCCCCTCTGACTCGTACTTCCAAAAGTTGGCAAGTAGGCAGCCAGTATAGCTGTTAATTTTAGAGACTTCAGTAATACCACACTTGAGAAGAAATGTATAAAAATACAAGAATGGCTACTGACAAATAAAGAAAAAAGGAAATGAGGCTTAAAAGATGATGATAAAGATTGGGTCCTGGAACATTTTTATTTCTACAGAAAAGAGGGCATTTTGGCTTAAGGAATTTCAACATCACTGGTATAGCGTGTACAGCATAGTGTACTCATTGCATATATAATGTATGTTTATATACAGCATTCTCTATCAGTCTGATACTGCATACTGGGTTTAAATTACTATAGAGTATTCACAGCATTTTGTGTGATACTGTGTACAGTGGGTGTTTCTGTGACACAGTGACTTTCCACCTCACAGACACAGATAATCATACACACCTGTCGCCACTTAGCACCTGCCAATAGGTGTGTCCTGTGAGGTCAGCATATATCCGTGTAAGGGAGTCATGTTCCAGGAATCTCAGCTTGCTCTTCTGAGTTCATTGTTATACCTATGGTTTTAGTTCCAACCTAGCACACCATTCTGTCCCCTCCCACCTATCCTGAATAACAAAAGAGGCAGGTAACTGCTGTGTAGCCGGTATAACCTGTCATTTGTTACTTCCTTAATTCACTTGTGTGACTTGCTAGAATTCAACTTCTTTTTCAACATCAGTCTCTTCACTTGAGCAATATACACTGTGTTAGCATGGCACTCAATCAAGGAAACGGATCAGGGACTCCTGCTGCAAATCAAAAGCCAAGAAAGATAGCCCTCATCACTGGAATTACTGGAC